AGGTCCCGAAAAGGTAAATTGATAGGGGTACAGTAATCCCAGATTCCCCCTGGGCCCTCGGGAAATATCATAATGTGTCCCGGAATAAAACCAATAGTGAATCCCTCTCTGTAAATAACCTCTATTATAAAGCATTGTATAACTGCAATATCATTAAACCAACACTCATCGGAAGTTATGGGGTTTTGAAAACTCAAAATCGCTAAATTTGGTGCCCCATGTTAAGTCAATGGGAATTTTTTTTTTGAAGTGTAAAATACGACATATATACGACCGAGTACAGCTTAATTTAATGAAAGCCTTTAAATGAAGGGTACCTCAAAAGCAATCTAGCTTCAAAATTTGGACACAAAAATGTCTAGGTCAAAATCCAGGTCAAATTCAAAGTTTTCCTTATTTTTGTGATTCTGACACTACACTTCAATCATATTCTTCGAAATTGTGTATACATGCGTAGCCAAGAGTGTACTAATAGTGTTAGCCTTTTGCCGTCAGAAAGTATTTTAACCCACTTTTGAGATATGGTGCCCAAAAAGTAGGTCAAAATAAAAAATTCTCCAAAATTAACGTTTGAGTTATGAATGAAGAATAGGATTTTCTCAGGAATCGGAATCTGCAAACCAAATTTCGATCCGACTTCCGGTTCGGAAGTTATGGCGTTTTGAAATTTCGAGAAAAATCGATCTGATGGTATCCTGATAGAAAGTCAAGAGTAGCGAAGAAAATGTTGAAAACCCCATCCATCCTTCCTATCCTATCCTACTATTCTATCCTATCGTTCCTTCTTATTCTATCCTATCCTTCCTATCCTATCCCTTTTATCCCTATCCGTTCCTTCCTATCTATCCTTCATATCCTTTCCTTCCTATCTATCTATCCTTCCTATCCTTTCCTTCCTATCTTATTTGAAAATCACCTTGCTATTCTATCCTATCTTTCTTCTCTATTCTCTCCCATCGTTCCATCCTATTCTGTCATATCCCTCCTTCCTATTTCATCCATCCATCCATCTTTTTCTGGATGACTCGGCTTAAAAAAATCCAGATCTGGAGTCTGAAATTGAACTTGTTCAATTTCCAAAGTCTAGTTATATTAGTTCTTTGTAAACAATTTCCATACGATACGGTAAATCAAGGGGATTTAATTTAGAAAATGAATAATCTTTATTTTTCAGATACAATATCAATGAGGTTGGCTCACGGGGATTCAATACTTAGCCTATGTATTTACTTTACGTTGTATATCCTTTTAACTTTGATAAAGACAAATACATTAAGGAACCAAACAAAATACGTTTCATTCATGAACCGCGCACTCACGCGTTTTATTCATGTCCCGACCAACACCTATAAACAGAACATAAAACAGTTTCTCTTGATATTCAATGATACATTATATTGGCGTTTTTGCATCAGCACATTGGTGTTGTTGCATCATTGATAATAAACAGAGTGGTGTTGTTGCATCAATAGTGAGGAATTAAAACCGCGAATTTCTCGCTTCTTGATGATGCTACATGCATACTAATGAGAGTTTTTTTAAATATAGATCATGAGCTAACTGCACGTGTATGATTATTGAGCAACTCGTCCTAGAAATGGGTTTACATTGGGAAAACAAAATATCGGACGAAAATCTATCACCGGAAGTCTGGCCATCTTGATGCAACAACACGGTGTTGTTGCATCACGATACCCCCCAGTGAATATAGTACATATTCTGTATTTCACATATTATCGTCATCATCATCATCACCACTTAAATTGCCATTGTCGCAGTCTGCAGCAGAAAAACATGTAACATTTTCATTGGATATTATTGGTGGCTGAAACAGTGATAATAAGGCACTGTTGGCCCACATCTGGTTGACTGACCCAAAAAGATTAATAGGAATAGGTCTATCGAAAATGTGATTGTTTTTCACTTTCCTTATACTTCGCTCGACATGAATGCGCTCTGCAGCGATCTGTTGCGTCTTGTAGACATCTTCTGCATTCATCTGGTCCTCCAGACCAAGGAAGGGCGGGATATTTAGATTGACACCAAGGGGATCTAATAAATCTTTTATTAAGAATCCCTTATCCACCATTACGTCGTCGTCTTTGTCGAATGGGAGTTGCAAAAATCCAGATCGTTCAGTGATTTCTCTATCTGAAATACTTCCGTGGAAGAGGGAACTCACAAATGTAGGCGCCCCCTGTGGAGCGATTCCTAAAAGTCCCTTCAACGTGTTTGTCGATTTGTAGTTCGAATATGTTTGAGATTTAAGGGTTAGAGATTTCGGCATCTGACATTTGATCTCAAAAGCGTCTAAGATTACTCTGGTGTTAGGATATTTTTGCTTAAATGACGCTGGCATTGTTTGCTGAATTTGGTTTTTACTTGGCCAAATGTTCATGGACCCCAACGTGATGTAGAGAAAATTTACCCACTTCAGGAACAAATTAGACACGGTGGATTTTGAAATACCAAATCTAATTGCCAAATCCATTTCGAACATGCCTAGTCTAACCCTACACAGATAAAGTAGGAATTGGTCCTCCACGGACAGTTTATGGGGCCTGCCTGATTTTTTCTTTATTTCAGATGATTTGTCAGAGCGATTTGCGATGTTTTCACCGCTTTTTCCTGGATTCAGAAATGCAAGAACAGAAAGAAATGTTTGTTTGTTTGGAAATCCAGTATAAAATGGTATATAACGTTCGTGAAGATTATCGAATGTGAACACATTGGCTTTTAGCCTTTCATTTTCTTCTCGTAATTTGTCACACTGGATTTTAGTGTCATTATCCGGTTCATTGACGTTTTTTGTGGCAGTCAGTTTCATTATGTCAAGCTTCAGTTTTAATATTTTGTTCTCTAGTTCAGCCTTTTCCTTCTTTGATACGATAATTTGTAGTTTTGCACTCACTTCTTTTAATGTCTTTGTTGTACACGTTTTACATTCATAACCAACTGGAGTAAGAGGAGGGGATTGTAACCCTCTTGGTTCGGGGATAGAAGATACAGTTTTTTATCAGTAAACTCATGATTGTTTTCCACTCGATTAAAGGGGTCTTTTCGCCGTTTTGAAGACACATTCATATGAGGGACATCTGACCAGCATTTAAATACGTGGGGTACTATTCCTGCTTTTAAAATACGTCTCTTGCTGAATCCGTGATACTCAAAAGCTTCGTCAGCAAAATGTAAAGAACAAACTCTACTCGATGAAGTTAATTGAAACTTTTTATCTTCAACCCTATGTATCGCAATAAGCCATTTGTTTTTCATACTTTCTGGAACTTTAATATATGTGACTAACTTCTCATCAACCTTCGCTTTCCCGTAAGACGTGCACATCGGTACAATGCAATTTTTTCCCGATTTCTTTTGTTTGGGACAGTTGTTCTCATCTTTATTCAAATGATATCGATGGTATCCTGCTGGATCCTAAATAAAAGAAAAGTTCATGTTATGCAATTGCATACATTTATCTTTGCTGTACAATATTTCTAATTCTGACTTTAGATACCATTTTTTGTGAGTCGTGGATTATTAATGCGAACTATTTATCTCTTACCATATGATATACAATCTTCACACAAATCATGGTATATAAGTTTTATATCGCATGATGCTCATATTTCCCGGTGAATAAATTTGTAAAACTAGTATGCAATATGTCATTTGAAAAACACTTTCCAGTATTATGGTGTCGGCGAAAATGACATATTTACCTCGGAAATTCCTCCACAAATCTTATTATATATGGGGATTTAATATTAATTTTATTTCCTCGGAAAATAGCTTACCGTTGATCCTTGGAATATATCCCATACAATATCTTTTCTCAGTAAAGAATTACCTCTCAATCTGATTTGACAGAGATGACCAGGTGAATATGATATTTGCAATGGATATTAGCAATCGTTATTATGAACTTGTATTGTAATTAGGGTAACTATACAAATCAATAATCAAAGTACATGAGAGTGCCCCCTCCGGAACATAGTACAACACAAGTACACCTACCGAGACGGATAACTAATGTTAATGTCTGCTGTACATTTCCATTCAATGTTGTCAACAGATCAATGACCGGCAATGAATCTCTTGTCAATTACTAACCTAGATACAGTAATATTATTACCAAAAGGGCATAAACATATGTGAATGTGATGTATAATACCAAATCGATGATTATTTTATGATAACTTACCATTTTGAAGCAGCTAAATTGACTGAAAGTACCCAGAGATTTACATGTAACTCAACCGGATTTGTGCTTTCGCGGGAAAAGTTTCTACCATTGACGTCATAGATTTTTAAGCGGCTCATTATAATATTCATGAGCTGACTTTATGGAAAGGTGAATATTCGCAACATCTATCTATTTCACATATATTCAGTGTTTTTCATCCTGACCCCCAGGGGCCGTGTATGGGGGGTCAGGAAAACAGAAATTTTCGCTAATTTTTAGATCTTTCTGAAGTATAGCTTTATTATACTCAAATGAAAGGCAATTAAGAGTAGATTGCAAATATTGTATCTTTTTTCTGATTCGAGCCTCGTAAAATTCAAAATGGCCGTCTAATGTACGATTTCGCAATAATTTTTCGATCCCTTCAACGTATGGCTATATAATACTCAAATTGAAGGAATTTTGGAGTAGATCACAATTATGGTATTATTTTTCAGATTTGTACCTCAGAAAATTCAAAATAGCTGCTTTGCAGGAATTCGCAATTCTAAAATCTAAATTTTTCAATTTTAACCAAAGTAATGAGTATAATTGATTGGAATTCGGTAATTGATATTTTGTTCGTTGGGATTTGCTACTCCGCGGAGTTGCCATCATCTAGTTTATCATACAGTATGCATTTTATCAATTTTTTCCATTCATTATTTTTAACGGCATTGTTGCATCTTACTTGAAAGCACCATGCCATTTAGTAGCCTCAGTTTTTCTGTTCTCCTAATTGTGATAGATTTTGATTGAGTCATATCATAATTTGTAGGACTTGCAGCACTGAAAGATGCGGGAATACCATATGAGAAAGTAGAGGCAGTTGTGTGTAGTTACAACTATGGAGACCCAACCAGTGGCCAGAGGGCGCTGTATGAGATTGGTCTGTCTGGAGTTCCTGTTTTCAATGTTAACAACAATTGCTCTGCTGGTTCTTCAGGGCTAATGATGGCAAGGCAGCTCATCAAGGCTGGACATGATTGTGTTATGGCATTAGGTATTTAAACATTTGTGTACATCTGCATTATTATGGTACATCTGATAAGTATTGATATCCTCTTAGCGAGCTTCTTATATACTTCACTTTTTGACTTGTTGCTCCTGCTTTCCAAATCATATTTCAAGATCCATTTGTTGTATTTTCCCAAATGGGGAAGTTTTTTCATGATTTCCTGAAAATGTGGTTGTCACTTTTTGTATTATTTTGTACTTTACTGAATATATGTATTTTATATTGATTGGTCACAGACACATCATGTAACTGGTCATAGCACATCAAAGGTCATCATTTCACCATTAATAAGCCAATCAGCATTCAGAATACATATGAGATACTGTATAATGATAAATTCTGTTCATTGAAGGTTTGATGAAAAAATCATAAGCCAATCAGCATTCAGAATACATATGAGATACTGTATAATGATAAATTCTGTTCATTGAAGGTTTGATGAAAAAATCAGAAAGACTCCAAAAATAAATGCTTATTCCTATATTTTTAGGTTTTGAGAAAATGGAAGGAGGATTATCCGAGACATTCAAGGATCGTACTTCTCCAGTTCAGCGTCACATGGATCACATGGTCTCCCTCGGGGCAGAACCTGGTCTGATTGGTCCAGGCTATAATGCTATGACATCAGATGTCATCAAACTGTTTGCATATGCTGCAAGAGAATACATGGAGAAATATCCTGGTGCTATGACTTTTGAGGATCTTGTGAAAGTTGCGTATAAAAATCGTAAGCATGGGGCCAATAATCCAAAGGCTTCTTTGCAAAAACCTACCTCGATGAAAAGCATTGCCAACAAGGATCGAATAATGATTTATCCAATCACGATAGGCATGACTGCCATGACAGCAGATGGTGGAGCTGCTGCAATTGTCTGCAGTGAAAATTTTATTCAAGAGAACAAACTTGAAAATCGTGCGATTGAAATCATCGCTCAGCATATGGTAACTGACCTCCCATCTTCATTTCATAAAAGCATGATGGACACAGCTGGCTACAGCATGTCAAAATTAGCTGCTGAAAAAGTTTATAAGGACTCAGGCCTGCAAGCCAAGGATGTAGATGTCATTGAAGTTCACGACTGTTTCTCGTGTAATGAAGTGTTTATGTATGAAGCCATGCAACTTGTAAAGGAGGGTGAAGGAGTTAAGCTGTTCAATACTGCCAAGTGGGTGAATAACAAGGCTGGGGGTGAGGTTTGTCAGCTAGGGGGGCGCTGGGTTGTCAATCCATCAGGTGGAATAGAGTCTAAAGGTCATCCTATAGGAGCAACAGGTAGGTTCAAAACACCAGTGACTAGAGGTTCTGTTACATTAATATTATATTCAATGAATACTAATACAAATTACTTTTATTTGCATGTTTGTAATTATTATGCTCATATACTTAAAAATTAAAGGATCTCAAGCCACTCTGTATTTAAAATACACAGTTAATCAGTTATGTTGAACTAAAATGAATGCAAGTAGATTGTGTATATTGAAAACACAGAGGTTCTTGAACTTGTACTGAAGGCTCAATATACAAGTTCAATATGTTATGACTTCCTTTCAATGTCAGGTCAAAATCTAGATTGCACTTATCAGATAAAATGGATAGGGTCATAGTCTAACATAGAGCTTGCCATTGCTACACTTCAGACGTGAATGACATGTAATCCAACTGTTTGTTTCAGGTCTGGGGCAGTGTGCAGAGTTGGTATCGCAACTAAGAGGTGAGGCTGAGAAAAGACAAGTAGAAGGGGCAAAAGTGGCGCTACAACACAACTATGGAATAGGGGGAGCTGCAGTCGTCACCATGTACCAGAGGCCAACCTTCAACACTGCAAGACTTTAGATTGGCCTTCAGAGACCAACCTTCAACCCTGCTAGACTTTAGATTGGCCTACAACACAAGTCACTTATTCCAAGAATAAAACTTGAGCAACATCACTGAAATGAAATGGACAGAATATGAGATACCAATCAGTATTGATTAATTTCATAGTTCTATTTCATATTTTGACATTGATGCTACAATATATGATTTTAGTACTATTAAGTTATAAAGATGGCAGAGCAGTTTCTATTGATTTGCATTAAATCAGATTAATAGTTCTATATCCATTTGTGCAAACTGCAGTCTCTTGGAAGAAAGAGGAACTGTGTAGATTATAAAGGAGTTACAACTTGAGTGACACTTACAAAAATGCAATGCAAGTAACACGAAATTGCCAACTATTTATTACTTCAAATGCTTGTACATACAAAAGTAACAGCACACATTGATTTATGATATAGTGTACAATGATTTTGATTGTAATTAAATCCTAATTATTTTCATGAATGTATAGACCAATGTTCAGGTTCACTGTCCTTCCAGTTTACACATGTGGCCTTATGCTGTGATTAAGATCACTTTTATTTTTTATATTTTTATGTATTTACCAATTGCAAAAGAACAATTGTAAAATAAAATGTAAAAGACCATTGGATTAATTTTTATTTTATGTCACAAGCAAGAATTGATGACATGTTGTTAAAGCATTTTGTCATGTAATTGCTTTTATCTTAATTTGATGAACAATAGTTCAATGGTTAATTTTTGATGAGTCAGAATGGAGTTTATTTCTCAAAAATTATCCTTTTTGCTAATATATTTTGATGACAAAATTGAAATTGATGAACACCTAAATTTTCTTATCAAAATATATAAAGTACATAACTAATTGTTTCTGTGAGTTTTAGAAAAGTTAGATACGCCAAAGTGTGTTTTGAGGTAAAAATCTGATTTTTACATAGAATCCAATGAGAAGTACCATGCCAATTTTTGTCAAATATTGACACTTTATGTGTCTCTTGCTCAGAAAAAAGCATACAATCATATAGTTTTTCAAAGCTTGATATCTTTGTTACCTGTTTAATGAATTCTTGATAACTTAGTTTGAGAAAAAGTTAATACTATCAAAAAAATTAATGGAACATGCTATGACATCTCATCTCTTGAGAAACAGAAAGGAACGTTGCTATGAGTGTTAAAATGGGAAACATACTTAAGCCTTGAAGAACTATTCATGAATAGAAATGTAATAAAGATGTCGCTTGGTCTGAATTCTATGTTTCTAAACAACACAATCAAAGTTCAACAACCTATTTACAATGGTTTACTCTGGTTGCATAAGGGGGCGGGCTCAAAATATTTTGAATCACAATCAAAGGTGAATTTATTAATTTTGAACCAATCACTTTTCCTTATTACAAACAGAAACTGCAAAATTAACCTTTATCTTCTCAAATCTTATCTTCCGATTGTATCTTATCTTCCGATTATATCTGAACTGGTCGAATATTTTTTATAAAAGGATTCAGCCAGTTTGTGACAGTCCATAATGTGTTTTTCTTGTTTTTAGTATGTTTTCTAAAAGATTTGTTATGAAAATCAACAGATAAATAATTCAATGTCTTAAAGCTCGTTCGAGGAAGCTGTGTTCCATCTATAACTTTTTCATCATGTAATTCTGTTTTATATCAATGACAGGTATTGTATTGATTGCCTAGGTTACCAGTGAAAATTGACTTGTATTAAAGAATGTAATTTGAGATTGTAAGATGTCCAATACTTTTATGTGATTGGATTAAATTGGAGATAGTTGTCATGTGACTGAATGTTGCATCTTGGGATAAGGCTCCACTGTTGTTCAAAGGTTTCTTATCACATAGTTGAGTTGGCATGAATGTTTGATAAAAAAAATCAAGACAAACTCATTTCAACGGTTTACAAGCCTCAGCTCAAAGATATTATCACGAAACCTATGGTTTCAAGCTAAATAATACAAATTGATACCATTTGATGAAATAACAAGGAGAAATAGCATAAATATTCTTAATACTATTTGAAGTTAGGACCAGATAACTGGAGCTTTATGGCACTGTAAGTTGATAAGTTTATAGCAACAATGAGATAGCAACCATAAGCAATAAGATAGTCGCTTGGCTTATTGTAACAATTTTGATATCTCTTCATTATTATACAAACATTAAAGTGAAGTTTGATTTATGTAATTCAAAATATGAAGATGTTTTATTGGTTTTGGTAAGTATTCTGTAGTTTAATTTTTTAAATCTAAAGATAATACAAAAACTTGGTTAAATTATTAATATGGATAATTTAGTTCAAAACATGAAAGAAGGATAATTGCATGTCATTTCTTATATTCTTTTGTACAACTTTTCAGGAGTACTGAATATCTGTACCAGATTATGTACTAGGATATATACATATGTATTAGAAATGTACAAGGGCAGTGTTTGGTAGTAAGAATATACACGCAATGTTCTGGCGCAAGTTTATGACATAACCGCAAAGATGGCAGTAAATGATGACAATGTTCAGAATGAGTTAAGTCGTCTGCGCTTGCGTATTCTTCAAGAGGTAAGTACAACAATAAAACATCATGAAATTACAATAAGTGTTATATAATCATGTGTGTATGCTTTTCTCAACTGGGTGCAAAACTGCCACTACCTATTCTGTCTACTACAGAGAAATAATGTCCAGTTTTATCTATTACCACTGTAAGATGCAATTATCCTATTGAATGTTGTTTAGTTAATTTCTACTTCTCTTTGACAAGTAGCCAGCCACTGGTACCATAAATCAAGCACTGTGTAAATACAACTTGTCTGACTACTTTCTCATAAAAATCCAATGTTATCTGGTTGCTATAGTAACCATGAATGTAAGGACTCTGCAATTACATTTAGGATTTTGTATAGTGTACTGTAGTGTAGTATAGTGTAGTGTAGTGTAGTGTAGTGCAATGTAGTATAGTAGGTTGCTTTGCTTATTGGATGGCATCATAAAGGTCCTAATAAGGATAATGTAAAACCTTCTTTTCATTTAGCTTAATATGAAAATTTATTATAATGAAACTCTGTTTCTCTTCAATTCAATGAGTATAGTTTTATTATAAAAAATAGGCATTGGATCATCATACATCTTTAAAATTTAGAAGTCAATACTTATCTGGTAAAAACTTGTAATACACAGTTGTGAATAATTCATTTTCTGATCTTGGAGAATGACAAATTGGTGGACAGAATAATTACAGTCATTGGTGGTGATAAATTGCTTAAAGACAACACTATTGATGCAAACTGTTTTTCTGATGATGATATATTACATTAAGGAGGTATAATGCTTTTGTGTTTGTTATTGTTATATTGTACGTCCAATCAGTGACGTTGTGTCCCCCTATACAAGTCCATATGTCATTTCACTCAGTATTCCCCTCCCACCACATATATATGTTTCACCCCTCCCCCTATGCTATAATCTCATTTCATTATTTGTAATGTTGTTTGTTTTCACATTGAGAAATGTTATTCCCACTCGTGTAATGAATCCATTGGTTGCTATTGTGATACATCATCCCGATGATGAATGTGTCCAAATGTTTAATCTTGTAGTACCTGCTCGGGTTTGAAATATATCGCAAAATCAGGCTATTTTAACATAAACCTCTGAATTATTTATGAAGTAATGCACATTTGTATTTTCAACCCATATGAATTATAGATGATATTTATACATTTATGTCTTTTATTGTTACGACCACTTTCAGTATTTGCTTCATTAGAGGAATACTTTCAGAAATTACCTCAAAGTTGAGTATCGTTGAAGTAATAGGGTCAAGTAAAAACAATGATCAGGATACAATAATGTCATTTTATTGTTACCAGATTCATAAATCAGAGCATTGAATTGAGATTGACCAAACACCGTATTGCTTTAAATGGGGATATAAGCTATATTTTCATCATAATTATCCCTGAATCATATATTTTTGATAATACATTATTGATAGTGGTATTCAACTACAATCCATTACCTTGGACATAAACCTTTCTTCTGTAATTCTTCTGAAAAGCAACTTGTACCAAAAATGAAGATTTTGTATATCTTAAGGTTATACCTATTAGCCCTTTAGTGGTCATAACACCATTTCTATGCAGTTGTATAGCCTTGCCTAAGTCAGTATTTTTTACTTATCTGATCTTGAATTATTACTAGAAATCAAGATTAGTAAAAAGAGCGACTTGGGCAAGGCTAGTGGTTGCATGGAATTGTATGTTTTAATCTTAATGTTATTTCCATTTTTCAGAAATATGAAAGAGAGAAGGAAATAGGGAAAGCCCTCCCTTTCATTTCACAGTCCCAACTACCAACACATCCCCAGCATCAGTCTAACCAAGGTACTGAACTATACATGTATATCACATAGTCCTGCAAGAATTATTTTGGGTTATTATCCCGCTGAACAAAATTCAAGGGGTATAGGAAAGCTGTCTGTTCATGCGTCTGTTTATCCGTCTGTCCATCCGTTTGTCCCTCTGTCTGGGCAATAACTCAAATACCAGTTGACAGATTTGATTCAAATCTTATAGGCTTATGCCTTATGGGTGAAGGACCTCTGCTCAAGAAGAATTTTTCAATATGGCTACTAATTTCAAAATGGCAGCCATTTTTCGTAAAAATGTAATGATAAATCAAATACGAGTACTGTATCTGCTTCAACTTCAATTTTGCCTCATCTAATTAAATTTTCCTCGCTTGTTTTCCAAACCTGAAAGTCAGAATAATTTACTTGGAACCAACCAGTTTTGTCTCTGGCTGCAAAAATTAAATACCAGGATTTTGCTTGTCAAAACCTCCATGAAACCCCTATTAACCATATGCAATTATTGCCTGTAATGAGTCACACTAAATATGTACTCGTACTTGTAGGCATAGAAAGGTTGATGGGCTTTGATGGTACAACAAGATTACACCAAGCCATGTTAAAGCGTAGAGAGCTGTTGGATCAGTTACAGGTGTAGTAAATATATTAAGATGTCTGCTAGAAGCTCATTGAGATTTTTGCCTCTCCCATATATAGATCATAGAACAGTGAGTCCAAGAAACCTGTTGGGGAGATATAGAGGTTCTTATACGAGTACCTGTGCAAGATCGTCCAGCTCTTGATGAGCTTTGATAATTCTTCTTTAACGAGTCGAATATATCTTGCATGGGGTAAAGATGGCAGTATCTTTATTAGTCATATGAGAAAAATGAGTACCCAGTTATGGTATTATCACAATAACAAAAACAAAAAGATATTATTAATGTTGCATTTTGGGTATGTTTATAGATGGAGAGGCTTTTGGAAGACCATCATAGACCACGATCCTACAGCAGTAGAAGAAAGTCACCCCCAAGTACCCATAGAAGTGTAAGGTCACTGCCAGAACTATCTAGAGGTAGGTACCCATAGGAGTGTAAGGTCACTGGCAGAATTATCTAGAGTTAGGTACCAATAGGCGTGTAAGGTCACTGCCAGAACTATCTAGAGGTAGGTACCCATAGGAGTGTAAGGTCACTGCCAGAACTGTCTAGAGGTAGGTACCCATAGAAGTGTAAGGTTACTGCCAGAACTATCTAGAGGTAGGTACCCATAGGAGTGTAAGGTTACTGCCAGAACTATCTAGAGATAGGTACCCATAGGAGTGTAAGGTCACTGCCAGAACTATCTAGAGGTAGGTACTCATAGGAGTGTAAGGTCACTGCCAGAACTATCTAGAGGTAGGTACCCATAGGAGTGTAAGGTCACTGCCAGAACTATCTAGAGGTAGGTACCCATAGGAGTGTAAGGTTACTGCCAGAACTATCTAGAGGTAGGTACCCATAGGAGTGTAAGGTCACTGCCAGAACTATCTAGAGGTAGGTACCCATAGGAGTGTAAGGTCACTGGCAGAATTATCTAGAGGTATGTACCCATAGAAGTGTAAGGTCACTGCCAGAACTGTCTAGAGGTAAGTACCCATAGAAGTGTAAGGTCACTGCCAGAACTGTCTAGAGGTAAGTACCCATAGAAGTGTAAGGTCACTGCCAGAATTATACAGTTAGGTACCCATAGGAGTGTAAGGTCACTGCCAGAATTATCTAGAGATAAGTACCCATATATGTGTAAGGTCACTGCCAGAATTGTCTAGAGGTAGGTACCCATAGGAGTGTAAGGTTACTGCCAGAACTATCTAGAGATAGGTACCCATAGGAGTGTAAGTTCATATATAGATTTATGCTTGTTCATTAGAAAATTATTTAATGACCTACCATTATATTTGATGTTAAAAATCCCATCACAGAGAAATACTGTATAATAGCAATGCAAGCATGCAATTTTATAAGCCTCTGAGTATAATTCCATATACATATTTATGCATGAGCATTCCAAGTCTTTTATTATTGATGAGTATTGGTAAGTATGCAGTCCCTACAAAATGGTTTCAAAACCTAAGGTGGTCGCCACAAAGAGCAATCTCTTTTTCTTATTGTTGTATATATTACATTTGAACAAAGAGTCTGTGTATAACTTGACCCGAATACAACATTTCAGAGCCTGGCAGAAACATCCTAGAGTTACCTATACACCAGCAACCAGAGGAAGCCATTGAACTACCTAGCCAGCTTCCCTTCCTACAGCCCTTACCCAACCCACCGCCACAACCACAACTTCCTAACCAGACATCACCTGGAAAAGGAGGTAAGATGGTACATCTAATGTTTTGTAAGGGAAATTGTTGTTGGATCAGTCACCTATGAAAAAGAATATGTCTGGTTGGTGTCACTGTTCTAATATTTAAATATGGAAGTGAGTTAATATGTCTGGTTGATGTCACTGTTCTAATATTTAAATATGGAAGTGAGTAAATATGTCTGGTTGATGTCACTGTTCTAATATTTAAATATGGAAGTGAGTTAATATGTCTGGTTGATGTCACTGTTCTAATATTTAAATATGGAAGTGAGTAAATATGTCTGGTTGATGTCACTGTTCTAATATTTAAATATGGAAGTGAGTTAATATGTCTGGTTGATGTCACTGTTCTAATATTTAAATATGGAAGTGAGTTAAATATGTCTGGTTGATGTCATTGTTCTAATATTTAAATATGGAAGTGAGTTAAATATGTCTGGTTGATGTCATTGTTCTAATATTTAAATATGGAAGTGAGTTAAATATGTCTGGTTGATGTCACTGTTCTAATATTTAGATATGGAAGCGAGTTAATATGTCTGGTTGATGTCACTGTTCTAATATTTAAATATGGAAGCAAGTTAAATATGTCTGGTTGATGTCACTGTTCTAATATTTAAATATGAAAGTGAGTTAAATATGTCTGGTTGATGTCACTGTTCTAATATTTAAATATGGAAGTGAGTTAAATATGTCTGGTTGATGTCACTGTTCTAATATTTAAATATGGAAGTGAGTTAAATATGTCTGGTTGATGTCACTGTTCTAATATTTAAATATGGAAGTGAGATAATATGTCTGTGTTTCCCACTGAAATGAATTGATGAATGATGTTCAATAAATATATAATGTTGGCATCTCTGTGAAAGGTGTGATTATTTCAGATGCCATGGAAACTAGGTGCCATGGAAACTGTGATTGTTTCAGATGCCATGAAAACTTATTACTTGAAATGTTATAAATTTCTGAATGATGCAATGTTTTTTTTGTTTTTGTTTTTTTTTTTTATTAAAAATATTTATTCTCTAAAATTAAAATCAAATACATAATAACACTAGACACTTTTAATAAGTGTATCAGCGTGAAAACATTTAAATATTAACCTGAGTCAAATGGAAATGAGAAAAAAAACAATTTAAAAATATTTACTCAGTTAAATGAGAATAAAATTGATAACAATATATAAAATCTACATATATGTTTGTCAGTAATTCAGTTCAGAATAGGTTGATGTCATATGAATTTTAAAATTCTTTTTAAAACAGTTAATGGAAGGTAATGTTTTCAAAGAAGTTGGCAGATTATTCCAAAGCTGAGCACCTGAGTATTTTATTGAGTTTTGACCTATAATTGTTCTAAATTTTTTCATGTGAAGGCAATTTTGGAATCTTGTCTCATGTTCATGAAATATCAAATTTGGAGTAAAATAATTTTCAAATATGTCAAAAGGAAAGCCATCGGGTTTTGTTGTGTATTGATAAAGAAATTTTTCAACTTCAAGCTTATGTATGTCAAAAATATCTAGAAAATTGAGTTGTTTAAAAAGAGGTGGGCTATGTGCTAAAAAGTCAGAATTTGTGATTATTCTCACTGCACGTTTTTGTAACAAAAGCAATTTATTCAAAAAGGTTTTACATGCATTACCCCATATGATGTTGCAATAGTTCAATTGTGATAATATAAGTGAATTATGGTATGGTAATCATGGTTTTTGCATTCAATTTATATTTAATCTTTCCCAGAATACCAATAATTTTAGATATTTTATGTATAACCTTATTTATGTGCTCATTCCATTTTAATTTACAATCAATTGTTACTCCCAGAAAATTTGTATGCATTACTCTTTCAAGAATATTACCCCCTATTTTTATATTAAAATCTTGATTTTCATCAATATTTAACTTTGATCTTGTAAATAGCATATAATTTGTCTTGTCTATATTCAAAGAAAGTTTATTTGATTTGAACCATTCTAATGTCTTTTCCATTTCTAGATTTACATTTCTATATAGATCATGAAGGTCTTTGTTTGAACATAAGATACTTGTATCATCTGCGAAAATAGTAAATTTAAGAATATTTGAAACCTTATGTAAATCATTAATATAGAGAATGAATAAGATGGGGCCTAAAACAGACCCTTGAGGTACACCACAAGTGATAATATTTTCTTCAGATAGAGTGTTGTTAAAAGAAGTAATGATTTTCCTATCAGATAAATAGCTTTCAAACCAATTTTTTGCGACATTGCGAATTCCAAAATTTTCAAGTTTTTTTAGAAGAATTTCATGATTTACTGTATCGAAGGCTTTCGATAAATCTAAAAATATTCCAATAGCATGAGTTGAGCTTTTATCTAGAGATATCCTCACTTCTTCCAAGAAGGAGAGGATTGCCATATAAGTTGAATAATGTTTTCTAAAACCAAACTGATTTTTGAATAAAAGTTTGTATGTTTCAATAAATGTTATTAATCTATTTTTCATGATCTGTTCTAAGAGTTTAGAAAAGACACTAAGTAGAGATATAGGTCTATAGTTTGAAAATTTTGAAGTATTTCCTTTTTTAAAAAGTGGGATAACTTTGGCTGTTTTCAACTTAGTGGGAAAAACCCCTGTATGGATAGACAAGTTTGCTATATGAGCAAATGGTAAAAGTAAATTATTTCTTGCATGTTTAACTACTATTGGTTTGAATTCATCTAGGCCTGGTGAGCAATCTTTTAAAACTGACATTAAATTTTCGATTTCATCCTTACTCACAGGAGTAAGTTCTAAAGAAGATTCATTGATTTCCATAAATGTAAAAGGGGACTCTGTTAAAATGATTAGGAATATCTTTTCTATCAGTCAAAGTATCATCTCCATCATAAAATTTATCTGGAAAAACTGAATCACATTTTTTGCGGTGAAGTAAGTCATTTATAACTGACCAAGTATTCTTGATATTATTGCTTGTTTCAGTAAATCTATCACAAAAATATTTCCTTTCTGCTTTGCGGATTAATTTATGGAGTTTGTTTCGAAAAGTTTTGTATTCAGCTAGATTCTGTTTCGTTGGGTGTTTCAAAGTATTTCGATAAAGTTTATTTTTCTGTTTCACAGATGTTAGTATACCATGTGAGAGCCAAGGCTTAATTGAGTTCTTGTGAATTTTTGTATTTTTGACTTTTACAGGGAAATATTCATCATATTTTCTACTAATTTTGTCTGCGAACAAATTATAAGCCACATTTACATCAACCTTTTCATTAATTATACCTGTCCAATCTATATCTTTCAGTGAATCACTAAAATTATTAATTGCACTCAATGAATATTTCCTAAAAGTGATTTGTTTGTTTTCACAAACATTTTGATAGTGTGATGTAAGGGCAAAGATAGGATGGTGGTCAGAAATGGGAAATGAAAGAAGACCACTTTTGATTACATTATTTGAATTAGAAAAGATATTATCAATAAGCGTAGCACTTTTTTCTGTTATTCTAGGTTTAAAAATCAATGGGTTATAAGATTGGGAGTATAATAGATTAAGAAAATTCAACGTTTGTGCATCACTTTCAGTTTTAAGTAAATCAATGTTGAAATCACCCATTATAAAAGAAAATTTATGTTCCCTATCAATTTTAGAAAGTAGGCTCTCAAAACTTTCAAGAAAAGATGCCATGTCTGTATTTGGTGGTCTATATATTATAGTAATAACCATATTTTTCTCATTTTTCCTAGGAATTTCAATAGATAGTGATTCACATGCTTTATAATCTAATTTGAGGTCATCCCTATGTTTAAAGTCAATGCCTTTTAAAATATGAAGTGCAACACCACCCCCTGGTCTATCTTTCCTAGAGTTAAAAATACTATTATAATTAGAATCATTTTCCTCATAAATAGGCTCTAAGTTTGATGTAAGCCATGTTTCAGTCATACCAATAATTGAAAGATTATTTTTTAACAATTGCAACATATTATGGAATTTCCATTGATTTTTAGATACACTCCTCATGTTGATGTGTAACATACTAAGATCATTTGATTTTTGTAAGTGATAGTTAAATTGATCTATATTATTGTAGTTGCACTGATTTACTGATTGATTTATTTCAAAATCATGTGCAGTGAGAGGTTCATCCTTCTGTCTATTTTCTAAAGTCAGTGGATTAAAAATAAGACTTTCATAATCATTAGTTGGAATTGAAGAAGGTGCTAAGTCAAGAAATTCAATTGGTGTTGCCTCATAAAATGGAAACATCTGCCATTTTCTTGTTAACAACAAGTAAATGCATAATGTTGGCATTGTCATGGAAACTGTGATTATTTCAGATGCCATTGAGATGCTGATGCTGCAGAATGCTCAGATGCATCAGTTAATCATGCAACAGATGATGATGTCAGCTTTGCAACCTGGTAAACCACTTCAAATGATGGAAACTGATGCCCACAGTCATCTCAACCAACAACCTTCACAGTCTCAACCTCCTCAAAAACTCAACAACATCTCTGTTTTACCACCAATACATTCTAAAAGGTAGCATAAATAGTACCCTTCAGATTTATTTGACAAAGCTTCCTAAACTTCACTGTTTCGGTTAAAGAGAATCCTTTAAACTCACCAAGCCAGTCAGAGATTGGCATCAAAATGGCCTACTTTCTATTTCTGATAATTTTCTCGAGTCATTGTTGACTCAGTAATTACCAACATTACAATATTATTTAATTGTGTTTCTCTCCTTTGCTGATTGGTTGTGAAAATATCTGCATGGTTGGTTTGGATGGATTTATAATATGGGCTGTGGCAGCCACCAATAGTATGAATGGGGCCGCTAATCTGTAAAATCTGTCTAATTGTTCATAGGTGTTCTTTCAGGAATTTCATTTTCTGTTCATGGTACATAAAAAGCAGCCTCTTGTACAGCACTCCCCATCAGAGCATCATAGTGACCCTTGAGTGTATGTGTGGATGTGTATTAGATGCCAGCACACCTCTCATATGTTGGGAAAAAATGTATGACTCACACATCGAAAGTGTCCAGAATTCATCTAACTATCTGAAACAGTAAAATGTTCTAGAGAGAGAGGGCCCTCCTTTGCCCCCCTCCCCCAATACCACCCCTTGTAGTTTTCCTTTGGCATGAGAAGTTCCAGTCATTTGTTTATTGACATCAGTCACCACTTTGAAAATCCAATAATACGACTGCATTCTCTTGTTGCAGGACTACACCTCAAGTGGTGACATCTTTACAGCAGCCTAGAGGTATGACAATGCGTAGGAGTAATCAATACATGTCTCTTAAACAAAGTTAAATTAAAAACTGGAATATGTCTAGGAAAGAAACATGAGCAATATGTAGTGATAAAGCATACATTTTTATTTAGCCTTGCAATTAAATTCTCTTGGTATAGATAAACGCCAAAAAGGTGTTTTTATTAAGGCTGCTGTTCACTTAAGACAGGTTTCACTAAGTAAATAAAGACAGGCGGTTTTAGCAGGCAGTAAATAATACTTTAAAGCTGTCATATGATTTAATTGTACATATTTTGTAGTTGCTGACCCACCACCCCCTCCAACATGTTCACCCACTCCCATCATAATGTCTCCAAGATACCACAAAAGTAAGTTCAGTTTTCAACATGTTCACCCACTCCAATCATAATGTCTCCAAGATACCACAAAAGTAAGTTCAGTTTTCAACATGTTCACCCACTCCAATCATAATGTCTCCAAGATACCACAAGTAAGTTCAGTTTTCAACATGTTCACCCACTCCAATCATAATGTCTCCAAGATAACACAAAAGTAAGTTCAGTTTTCAACATGATCACCCACTCCAATCATAATGTCTCCAAGATACCACAAAAGTAAGTTCAGTTTTCAACATGTTCACTCACTCCAATCATAATGTCTCCAAGATACCACAAAAGTAAGTTCAGTTTTCAACATGTTCACCCACTCCAATCATAATGTCTCCAAGATACCACAAAAGTAAGTTCAGTTTTCAACATGTTCACCCACTCCAATCATAATGTCTCCAAGATATCACAAAAGTAAGTTCAGTTTTCAACATGTTCACCCACTCCAATCATAATGTCTCCAAGATACCACAAAAGTAAGTTCATATTGAGGAATATTATATAAGATATCTCTTTGAATATGATACAATAAAAATATATTTCATGAGTAGAAAACACAAGGATCATCATTTAAAAGGCAGCAAAATATGAATTATCTATATAAACCACTGAATTACTTTTATTTCTAGGTTCCTTAAAGAAAGTGATACCATACCCAGGCAGTAGTAAGTACATTCTTCTATATTATGTAACCACCAAAAGTGGTGACATATTGTTATGGTCTCCGTTTTTTGCGACGGCGGTTGGTGGTTGGAGGTTGGCGTCCGGCGTCAGGCGTCTGTAACAATTTCTTACAACTTCCTATAACTTAACAAATACTGTTTAGATTGACTTCAATTTTTTTCTAAATCATCTACATGTTCTCAGAAGTTCAAATTTGACTTTAGATTTGACATTTGACCTTCAATGACCTTCTCAAGGTCAAAAAAGGTCAAAAAGGTCTGTTTTCAACTTGCTTCAAATTGACCAAATTTTTTTTTCAAAATCATCTACATCTTTTCAGAAATTCAAATTTGACTTTACAAGTTCTCAGAAGTTCAAATCTGACTTTAGATTTGACCTTTGACCTTCAATGACCTTCTCAAGGTCAAAAAGGTCTTTTTTCAACTTGCTTCAAATTTACTTAATTTTTTTTTCAAAATCATCTACATGTTCTCAGAAGTTCAAATCTGACTTTACATTTGACATTTGATCTTCAATGACCTTCTCAATGTCAACAAAAGTCAAAGAGGTATTTTTTCAACTTGCTTTAAATTGACCAAATTGTTTTAGGTGGTGACATTTTATCATGTTAATGCCTTGTTGCTCATTTAGACAGGTTCCAATTCTAATAATTCAAGTTTTTGAGGCATTTTTTAGAAAAAGCAACAGACCTATTTTTACTCAATCAGTTTTTCATGCTGATAAAGATATTAAAAGATGACAGCTCAACGGGGTGGTCACGACACTGAATTTTGGCATGTTTACCCCCCTTGGAAAATATTCTAGGGGGTACTATGAAACTAGTTCATAACTCAAAGGATATATGAGCTATTGTTCTGAGTTGTACACCATACATTGCTAGTACAAATATGAATACTATCCTAAAGTTATAGGTTGATACCCATATTGGTCTCAGAAAAAATACAATTAACAGGAAAAAGATACGCAATTTTTGTCTTGCCAATTTTATATTTGTAGCTTCACGCAAAATATGACAGCTTTAACAGCTCATAGTAGTATTCTAAAAACATTTCCATGCTATATGGGGTATTGTAATACATCTATTTTAGTTATGAAGTACTATTTTGTAATTTTAATATGACTTTATAGTGCCCTACCCCTGGAAAATTGAAGAAAGTGGTTGTGGTGAATTTAATCATTTTGCAGCATTAAGTTAGAAACATGTATTGATAGACACCAAATCAATAAATTCATACCATCATCAAATGTTAGGTGACATTCTAATTCATTTATTACTAGAATATAGGACTTAAGATATTTTATATGTAAGTTTTCAATTTAGTACATGTATCATAATGAAATCTAGTGTAATCACATACTAGAGAGGACATTGACATAAAGTCTAAACATTATAATCATCAATTGATCTCATTTGAGCAACTAGACTATGGTGGTTATCATGCACAAGTAATGTACTACAGTGCCCCATGTACTAGGGCACGAGTCATTTGAGCCATATATACCTCCTGGTATATACCTTTACAACCAATTCAGAAGGGTCATTTACAATGTGCAAAACATGGCAAAAGTTCCGTAAAACTGTTAGTTCTCATAATCTGACCATATACCAGAGTCCTCATTAAGCCATGATGCATCACAGCCAGATGTTAGAAAAGTAGCCAAGAATCGTTTTATTAACCAAAGATGACTTTCCCAACGATGTTGCATCACACTGTACTGTCAACTGTACATGTTGCTTTCAATTTTGTTTACTCTACATAGATCTGATTCTGCATTTAAATACCAAGACTTCAGTTTACTTCAACTGTCATGACTAAAGCATTTGATAGTATTTACATAATAATGTTATAAAGGAGTATGTAGGTTATCGCAAACAACTTCAGACAATGGTCCTTTTTCCATATAGCTTTGAAATCTCGTTAAGGTCTTGTTTTTAATGAGATTTTAGGAGATCTGCATTTTTAACCATTAAAAACTAATGTTTGCACTGTAATTTACCATTATTCAAATTCTAATGATTTCCTGGTTGTCTAAAAAAGGTTGGGCTAAATCCCCATTGACACAATGCTGAAAAATCTTAAAAAGTTCATTTACTCTTCCAAGGATCACAATTTTAATGTGAAATCACAATCCACATGTCAATAAGATCATAAAGTTACATTCCAATGATGTTTTAAGTTGATCCAAATCGAATTACTTCTTAAATCAAGAAATTAAGTGTGGCAATACATTTACATGTATTCTAGCCCTACCCAAGCTCTACCAATACCCATGATGCCATCTACTTTTCATTTATATGGATAAAGGTCAATTCTAACTTGAATTATGAATATTTTCTGACCATGAACATAGGTATATCTTTTAGATCTATTCATTATCTTCAAGAAAAGTAAATATAATGATTAATCAGACCTAAGTCAGAGGCGTAGCTAGCCCATTTTGCGAGTGTACGCCCGTATGATTTCCCGGTTTTATCATAATTAACAAAACGATGGTTCCATAAAATAGGAAGATCCCGTGTGTTCAGAAGATAAGGGACACACTAAACACTCTTTATTCAATGAGGGAAATATGTATTGTTTGATCATTTTGACAAAGCTTTTTAAAGGGATTGAATTAACTGTATTAACAGATAATATCCGGGAAACAAAAAATACAGATTCTATATAATCATGCCATCGGCGATCGAAGCCGTCTATCAAAGCGATTTTATTTTTTAGGCTACCTAAAACTGTATGTATGAGACTCACTGTTTTAAGCTTTTGTGGTCATTCTCCATGAAATATTATTATTTTTTCTGTGTTTGTTTTTATCTAGCTCACAAGATGATTAACAATAAAAGAACAGTTACACGACCGTCTCAACTCCATTTCGGATCTTAACAATCTGTACGTGATTCTATAGAATAAATTCTATCTTTCTGTTTTTTTGCATTTGCGAACATGTCAATAACAGTATCAATGTTTATATCCTGTTCCCTATGGATATGTATCATGGCCAAGGAAGAAGGTCTTTCCTCGTTCATTGTGGAACGCAAGTATGAGTTAATGCGTTTCAAACTGCTAAAGCTTCGTTCAGCCACGCAAGTGGATACTGGCAATGTTAGCAGCTGGACCAAACACGTGTAGACATCGGGGTAAAGAGGCTGGGGGTCTGTTGAATAATCTCCTATCGATTTCTATCTCTTGGTAAAATATTTATTTTTCATCACAATTAATCAGGTAAATTTTATTTTTCCTTAAAATTTGAGAGTACGCCTGGGCGTACTTGGCGTACACGTAGCTACGCCACTGTAAGTGATATTAAAGGGAATGGCCCAATCAACATACTTTTTACTAAAAATGATGACCTAGCTTTTACCAAAGATGCAACCTTTAATTATATTCTTGAATGCATAATTAGAATATGCTTTGAGACATGTTCTATTTCCTAAGAGGAAAAAAGGATTGCTCCAGGGACTTTAAAGACACTGAATTTGGATGACCAAAATGAACTGAAACCAATGGATAGCATGACTTTTTTCAAAGGGGAAATAACATGGGGAACACTAATCTTAGGGGAATTCAGTTTTCGTTTCAAGAGCTATTTGATATATTAAAATAAAGAATAGTAATGCACTAAACATTGTTAAAAGGATTGCATTTTTGGTGAAAATGAGGTCAACAACCTTGAAAAAATATATTGATGGGTTGATTGCTAGTGAAATATCTCCGAGTCCGATTGCCTTTATTATCCCTGTATACCTGTCTTCATGGTCAGGAAATAGTCATAATCAAAGATATAACTGTCTGAAATTGTTTGTGATAACTTACCTGAACATTTCCAGGTAAAATCAGGAGTGACACAATTTATTTCCACCAATTTTTTGACATGTCTTCAAATATACGATAGTATTTTCTTCATAAGATAGAGTGTCACTTGTGAAATTTATTGATTGACCTGAGATCGTATCATATCTTTATGACATAGAAGCGAAATAGCCATATTGAACTTTAATGAATGTTGTTTGCCACTTTTCGACAATTCCGGCAAAATTTGGGGGTTTTGGGGGAGGGGTACAATTAAGTTAAAAAATTCACCTGATTCAGACTATCCTTAAATGAGCACTGATTCACCCGAGAGCATAACTTTTCCAAAACATGTTAGTGTTATTTTTGGACCACTCGCATTAATGTTTCGTCTAATTTTTCCTCAGAGTTTCCTCACCATTGTCTTAGGCCATATTTATTGAGATATATGAATGTTCATTATTAAAATATTGCCTTCCTTTGCAGTTGGAGAAGACTCGGCATTAGGTGTTATAAGTCCCAGACCACGATAAATAAAAAATAACAACACAATGACATAAAACTGATAAACGTTTTCTCTTGTGCGTGTCAGCCATGGTCTACCAAATTAATTGCTATTCAGTGGGAAGAAACTCATTTTTCAGTTTCCATTTTAATTTCCTGACAAATAGAGCGATCATCCCAGTATTTTTTCTATGATCTATATATCTATGTGCCTTTGCAACTTCTGTTTTAGAGAACAATAAAACAATAGAAAGGATTACTTTACCATAATTCTAATCATCCCACATTGTAGACATATTTAGAATAAAAATATGAAGAGAATGACAAAACCTCTTAAAACACATTTCTTAGGAAACAAATAGTGTGGTATTCTTGTTACTATGGCAACAGAGTTTTTTCTTTTTGTCATTTTTGTCATACAGATTACCTATCATACCAGGACCAAATCCTGAAAATTTGAATTCAGTATCTTCATTAGTATCTTAGATATATAGGTTTCTTATAGTATCCCCTGCAGATTTCATCTGAGTATAAGGAAAATGCTCTGAAGAGGGATGCCCAAGGATGCCACTTAACAGTTCTGGTATTTTTGAGGTCCCAACCCTCTATTCATGGGACAAGTTAACCATTGTAAATCTAGTCATGGTTAACTGACAGAATTGATTGTATCTTCAACTAAGAAGTCAATAAAATGTTAAAACCAGAAGAAAACCACACCAACTTTCTTCTATTACACCAGGGGTAGGGCATTATAAAGTCATATTAAAATTACAAAATAGTACTTCATCACTATAATAGATGTATTACAATATCAAACATAGCTTGGGAATGTTGTTAGAATACTACTTTGAGCTGTTAAAGTTATCATATTTTGCTTGAAGCTACAAATATAAAATAAGCAAGAAAAAAATGACAAAAATTGCATATTTTTTTCTAATTAATTGTTTTTTTCCGAAACCAACAAAGATATCAACCTATAACTTTAGGATAGTATTCATCTCTGTACTAACAATGTATGCTGTAGAACTCAGAGCAATAGTTTATATATCCTTTGAGTTATGAACTAATATTATAGTACCCCCTAAGATAATTTCCTAGGGGGGTAAAAACGCTAAAATGCAGTGTCGTGACCACCCCGTTGAGCTGTCATCTTTTAATATCTTTATCAGCATGAAAAACTGATCCAGAAAAAATAGGTCTGTTGCTTTTTCTAAAAAATGCCTCAAAAAGTCTTTCCCTTGAGATATTCTGAAATTGGAACCTGTCTAATTGATTTGTGCAATATCCAAAGACATTCATACTTTCTTTGGGCTCATTTTGTGGGATGATGTGAATAGAGCTGTGTATATGTAAAATATTTAACGGTGATGATAAATCTCAGGAATATGGTTAAAAGACATATTTAATTCCTCTATCCATTGTATTATTTACTTTATTAGTGCAATTAAAATCAATAATTAATCATCTCTTCCTTATTTTGATTAACTTTATATTAAAGGACTACTTAGAAAGTTTCGTCATGCTTCATTGGCAGTGTTGTATATAGAAATACTAAAGGCAAGGTCAAGGTCAAGGGAGGTGAGTTGAGTGTTTAATGATTTCTCAACAATTTGAACAACATGCCACATGTAGATATGCATTTAATGTTATTTTGTTTCTCTACTTGAGATTGACAGACATGTGTTGTAAAATTTAAAGTATATAAAAACAACCCTATAATAAGCTACATTGTTGAGTGAGCATATTGTTTCAGAGAAGGACCAAAAAGTTGAATGATGACCTTTACTTTGAAATCCAGCTGAAAGAGGCAGTAGCAGCTATACATAAAATATATCTTAATGTAAGTTGCACTATATTTCACTGTTTTTAGTTTTATGCAGTTTTTGGTGGTTGATAATCTTGGGGTTATCTTTGGAATTATATTATTTGCAGTAAAAAATCCATTGTACCTTATAATTTGATGACTTGTGATCAGTGTATGCATTAGAATATTGCATATGCATTTATAGATACTGAAACACGCCTGGTGATCGTACAAAATGGATGGAGGGGGGGATTAGGCGATTTCTGCAAGAAAACTCAACAAATTTGGAAGATTTATTTTTTCAAGAGAAAATTTACCACTGAATTGTCAAATGAATAGGCGCAGTGCATGGCAAAATATGTTAGGTCATCTAGTATTTTTTTTGAACTGATACCCTTCAAAGATATGAGATCTATTAAAAAAGGTGCATCATCACCAACGTGCAAAAGTCAATGTTTTTGCTTTAAATTGGGCAACAATGGTCTACACGACCTATAATAAATAGGTATAAGGGACGTTATTATCACAATACTAATGACATTGTTCACTTTTTAAAGTTAGTTTCCTTGCGTTATACAAAAAATAATCAAAATAAATTATTGTCATTACTTTCAGCCAAACGGTGCTGTATTCCCATGTTCACTTGAAAAGGGGCCATACATATTGTCATTACTTTCAGCCAAACGGTGCTGTATTCCCATGTTCACTTGAATAGGGCCATACATATTGTCATTACTTTCAGCCGAATGGTGCTGTATTCCCATGTTCACTTGAATAGGGCCATACATATTGTCATTACTTTCAGCCAAACGGTGCTGTATTCCCATGTTCACTTGAATAGGGCCATACATATTGTCATTACTTTCAGCCAAGCGGTGCTGTATTCCCATGTTCACTGAAATAGGGCCATACATATTGTCATTACTTTCAGCCAAACGGTGATGTATTCCCATGTTCACTTGAAAAGGGCCATACATATTGTCATTACTTTCAGCCAAACGGTGCTGTATTCCCATGTTCACTTGAAAAGGGGCCATACATATTGTCATTACTTTCAGCCAAACGGTGATGTATTCCCATGTTCACCTGAATAGGGCCATACATATTGTCATTACTTTCAGCCGAATGGTGCTGTATTCCCATGTTCATTTAAATAGGGCCATACATATTGTCATTACTTTCAGCCAAACGGTGCTGTATTCCCATGTTCACCTGAATAGGGCCATACATATTGTCATTACTTTCAGCCAAACGGTGCTGTATTCCCATGTTCACCTGAATAGGGCCATACATATTGTCATTACTTTCAGCCGAATGGTGCTGTATTCCCATGTTCACTTAAATAGGGCCATACATATTGTCATTACTTTCAGCCAAAAGGTGATGTATTCCCATGTTCACTTGAAAAGGGCCATACATAGTGTCATTACTTTCAGCCAAACGGTGCTGTATTCCCATGTTCACTTGAAAAGGGGCCATTCATATTGTCATTACTTTCAGCCAAACGGTGCTGTATTCCCATGTTTACTTGAATAGGGCCATACATATTGTCATTACTTTCAGCCAAACGGTGCTGTATTCCCATGTTCACTTACAAAGGGCCATACATATTGTCATTACTTTCAGCCAAACGGTGCTGTATTCCTATGTTCACCAGAATAGGGCCATACATATACATATTGTCATTACTTTCAGCCAAATGGTGCTGTATTCCCAGTGCTACTGAGGGTGTTAAACAGTGAGAATGTGAACCTCCTTGTACAGGACAGGGGGACCATTCTTCAGTCTAAGGAGGATAAATTGGCCCTAGACACACTCAGAGCAATAATAGAGAACATCTCCTTTCAGATTTCACAGATAAGAGTAAGTGACTGTTGTCAGTCTAGGCCCTGCCACCTGTATAATAATATGAATATTAAAATGAAGAAATCACAAATACTCATTGTTGTCTGACAGAAATATTGCTCTTTCAGAGAAGAAATATTTTGGGAGGTGTTTCTCTCCAAAATATCCTATTCTAAGCTTTCTAAAACTGTGCTAAATATTCACATTTTCCATCATGTTGAAATTATTAGTTACAGATTGTGATTCAAGATGTAAATACTTCTTGAGAGTTTTTTATTAACACTAAAATATGAAAAATAATTGTAAAAGTATATATACGTTATACAGATTATATGATCTGTGTCATTTAAAAGCACACATTTCTTTCAGGCAGTTCATGGTACATTAGGCTTGCATAGAAAGGCGTCTGTTTTCAGTCTTATACAACCTAACAGGATCTTCCCCGAGTTCTACTTCTTTCAGGCTGAATTGGTAAATATTTATTTCATGGTACAATGGTATTCCTAAGCTCACCAAAAGCTATTTATGTAAGTTATATTAGTGGGTGGCACTGGGTTGTCATATTGATAAATGAATGAATGCTCAGAAAACAAGTAATAATTTAAATGGAGAACCATTATATGATCTTCGGATTTGATAGATATAATACGGTGATGTATATTACAGATGTAAGGCCAATCATCATATTCTTATTACATGTACTAAATATATTTTATGTATGTATGCTTTAGGTGCCCCTCCAAGTGTCAGGCACAAACAGTTTGCCAAATGTAAGCCACACCCAGGCACAGATGCTCATCCTTGGGATCTTTCTGGCAAGAGGCATGGTCTCCACTGTAAGAAATAATATTACTATTATTGAAATATTCATGCACATTTTTATAATTAAATGAATATGTGTATATATACATGAACATTAAGATCATGGTTTAATGTTGAAGTCTTCATGATTTAACAGCTAGAATGCCATGTGTGCAAATGCATATTGAAGTCCAGGTAATTATGGTGAAGAAGCACATTGAGAATGTAGGTGTTGGGTCAGAATTTAAATGTTGCGTGATAAATTGTTTTTCATATTTAAGACACATAATAATTAAAATTAAAAAAAACTTTATATCAAATCAGCACAATATGCTGAAAGTTGAATACAAAATATAGATGTCATTGCAGTCTTCCTACCATTGAAAGACCATTGGCAAATCATAGGCACAGGATGAAGAGTTCACCCCCCCCCCCTGCTCATTCACTAAAAAGCTTATTCTTTGGTTCATAGTGAGTGGGGGCACTGAACTCTTGTTCCTGTGATCTAAATAATAAATAAAATAATTTGTTTCATATGATGTGTTACAATAATTTTCTTGAACTCCAGTTGCTGTTGAAGCCAGTTGAGTATGGCTTGCTACCCACACTGCCAAGTGATAATCTACAAAGAAACTTAGCAGTTGTTGCTACAATATTGATATATGTCTACAGGAGGACTGCAGTGCCTAAGAAGTCTAAAATAATGGTACTTCTATTGATTATAGTAAATACTAAATACAGTTTGGGCATTCTCCTAATTTAAATTCCTCTTTTCCTCTAATGGGAGATCACATAAGTGACGCTTACATAAAATGACAGTGAAATTAAAGGTGCACATAAGGTCAATACTTATCCTCTGAACCATATAAAGGCTTTTTGAGGGCACAATTCTCCTTAACAAAAAATGAATTTTAGATCTACATCTTGAATGGTATTCTTTAAACGCTGTATTTCAGGCAGAGTCGAGGGAGTTGTCCCAATATCTGGTGAATGAGGAGCAAATGGCGTACATATACAAGAAATTAAAGTCATCCATACAATATTCTGAGGTGAGAAGAATATGATACCTCTTTTTTATTTTCGACATATTGTTAAGCAAAAAGTATTTTGAATAAGAAAATCAAAGATATGTGCATTGCAATGTCATACTGTATGGGATACTGTACAAGTGAAGCAATCCAACAAATATAGCCTAATCCTGATGACACCTGAGTCATTGCATACACTTAAGTTATTCACTTTTTAAGATTGTGAGGCCTGCATTTGGAGGATCATTTGACAATTTCAGATTATGAATGTGTTGATTTTGCAGGATGTTTTGAGAGATTGGGTGGAGGAATATACGTCCAGGCTGAACAATGCATAGGAACATCAAGTATTTTGTTATATGGAGTACTCTCTGTACATTAGTGACTTGATGATGTATGTTTGTTACTTAACAACGAGTATCGAGTATTGGCAGACACAACATCAACCAGGTTGGTGGACTAACCAACAACTACTAACAAACATCTAACAAAAAACTAATAACAATAACAATGAACTACTAACACCGAACTACTAAAACAACTAACAATGAACTACTAACTAATATTTACTAACAAGCAGTATTACCATATCTTGTAGGCTTTATTTTTTCTAAGCTTTCGGAAAAATGTTTATGCCCAATTCTATTGATTGTGCAAGTTATGAATAAAAGATGGGGTTATTTGGGATGAGAATAATAGCTAGTGTCCCTTTAAACTGCTTCCTTGGCATCCACAAAAGAATTGATTTGAGCTGAATGTAAACATAATATTTAGGATGGCTAATTTCAGCTGACAAGGTATGTGAAATTGACATATTATTTTGCTTTGTTGACAATTCAAATATTCTCATTCCTGACATGTTTCCCTTTCGAATGGTATTAATCCCTTTCTAATGGTATATTCAAACCCTGGGACAAATAGCATCATTTTTTTAACACTTGTTTGTTCAACTTCTATCATATCAGGCCCGTAGCCAGGGGGGGTTCGCAGGGTTCGGGTGAACCCCCCCCCCTGGCCAAAAATTCTTTCAAAATCATGAAGTTTTTCACCATTTTGAGCACTTCTCTTGTGATTTTAGCCATATTTGGGCCAAAATTGTCAAATGTGAACCCCCCCTGGAAATTTTTGAAAACTGAACCCCCCCTTGGCAAATCCTGGCTACGGGCCTGATATATAGAGGTTATTTACTGTGAGGGATTCAATATGGGTTCTATTCAGAGGGACAATATGATATTTCCCGAGGGCCTGAAAGGCCAGAGGAAAATATCCTATTGTAACGAGGAATAAACCCATATTTAATCCCGATCAGTAAGCTTTTTATAGGGGTTATACACTGGGAGGTTTTGGATACAGGGAATATCCCTGAGGGATATACAATATATCTTTTTCAAAATCAACAATTTTTTTCAAATTTTTATTTTCAAATTTTTTTTGAGCGGACATACGATTTATATGTCCCGGAGCTCCGTTGGAGCGGGACATACGAAAAATATTTGCCCGGATATGGAATATATTTCCGGTTCATATGTCCCTGAAACCTCATCAGGTATGGAATACATAGAGATTATCCTATATGAGGTTCAGGATATTGGGATTATCCCGAGGCCAATATAATATATTTGCCCGAGGGCCGCAGGTCCCGAGGGAAAATACATTATATTGGCCAAGGGATAATCCCAATATCCTGAACCGACTATAGGATAATATGTTTATCCCATACCAATCTTGGTCATCTGGTTCACATTGTTCAATCGTGGAAATATTTTAGAATATTCATGCCCAGTTTTGTTTTCTTGGCCGTGGGTGGGTTCTCCTGTTCCCTCAAATATTCCCACATTTATTTTCTCGAATTTTTGATTGATTAGGTGGATGCTCCTTCAATTTTTTAAACCATCAAACAGATCCCGATTGTCTGTGTTTTCTCCATTGTCGTGTACAGTCATTACGCGAACGTTACAAATTATGAAAAAATATGCGAGCGGCGATTATGACGTAGCGGGCAGATATAGTATATCTGCCCGCTCGGAGCGGGACGTATAGCTATATCTGCCCGCTGATGAAAATATAAGTTTTTACAAACCGGCTTTATGTACCTATAACACGTCCAAGTATGGGATAAATATTGTTATCCCATGATATTCATGGTTCTCTTCTAGTCTTCATAAGATCATTTATTCAAAATCTATATCTGATTTTTGTATGAAACAAAACCACACTTTACATCACAAAATATGACTTAACTTTATGAAATTTGAAATATAAAAATTTTATTGAGATGTTTTATGAGAAGTTGTATATTCCTTCAAATTTGTATACCTTGTTGCACAAGGCCTTTCCTTTTGGATGTGGGTGAACTATCTTGTGGCAAATGATTTCAACCAACTGCCATTTGAAATCCTTTATTCTTCAGCATGGAGTTTATAGTGTTTTTATGTCACCACAAAAAGTTGTTACAAAAAGTGACATATTGTTACGTAGCCATCAACTTTATGTGGATGGTGAATGGCTTCTAAAAGATTCTTAACAACTCTAATAACTTTACAAGTTCTACACAGGCAAATTACATCGGGCCCCGTACGAGCCTCGAAAATTACGAGTCATTACGGGCAAAAAGGAGCACCATCCTCGTTCAGGCTCGTACGGAGTTCGTTTTCGAGGCCCGTACGAGCTTGTATGATGCTCGTAATTGTTGTTTTCGAGGCCCGTACGAGCATGTACGAGGCTCGTTATTTCGATGCCCATACAAGCTCGTACAAGGCCCGTTATCGAAATCCAATCAAAAAAAATTTAATTGCTCTCATGGTTCATGATTTCTATCCAGAACATGCTGTGTATGTTTGATCACATCTATAGCTGTGTTTATTCACACATTCGATAACAGTAACATTTATTTACATCACATTTCAACTTATTGCAATACCGCACACAAATGTTTTTATATGCATTTACTTCACTTGTAGAGAAATATGGTGTCTCCTAATGGTAACCCTCCTGTTTATTCTGTTTCCTAGTTTTTATACTGTTTATCATGTTGATACAGACATGAGAATATTTTGAAATTATTGGAGACATATTAATTCAGATATAATTAGATATAATTGAAATGTCATTTCTCAAGTATGCTAAAAAGTGTTCATCAAAATAAACGAGTAATTACGAGCCTTGTTACGAGCCCTGTATGGGCAAGTACAGTGCTTGGAAATTACAAGCCATTACGTGCTTTGTTACAGGCATCGCACAGGCAAGTACAAGGCTCGAAAATTACGAGCTATTATGGGCCTCGTAAATGGCACCGTACAAGGAAGTACGGGGATCGAAAATTACAATTTATTACGGGGCTCGTTACGGGCACCGTACGTTCAAGTACGGGGGTCGGAAATTACGAGCTATTACGGGCCTTGTAATCACAAGCTCTTACGAGGCTCGAAAATTACAAGCAATTACCAGACTCGGAACGATGTCCGTACAAGGTTGTACAGGGTCCGTTGATACAACGAGCTCCGTATGGGCTTGTACGGGGTCCGATGTAATTTGCCTGTGTATAATTATAGACTGACTTCGTATTTGAACAAAGAAAATATGTTATGAGTTCCAACACATTTCTGCAAATATCTGTTACCAGGGCAACAAATAAGAGGACTTGGTACATTTTGTAACTAGTTTAAGTTTCAAGAAGTAACGTTCACATAAACTTGAAATTCTTATTGTCAAAACATATAAGCATGTTAGGACTTTTAACATGTTTTTTTCATTTAAAACCCAGCTTATTGATGTTTCTACAACTGATTTATACTATGGTATTACTATAATCTCTGATATTGCAAAAAATTGGCAGGTGCTGACATTTTGTATGTATTAACATAAATATAAAACTGTATATGGTATCACATTTTACCTGATGGCCTGATGCTATCTAAAGTATCATCAATTACACTGGCCATCTGCCATATTAATACTTTAATTATGCACCCGTTCAAATCCTCAGAAAATAGCCAAAAGCCAACATATAGGGCTATCTGAAATTTGTTGTGATATCTTCTGTGGTCCTTTATCTTTATTACTTGAAAAACTCATAAAAATATGCACAACTTACACCTTTTTGAGAGAAAAGTCAACAGAAGTAAACATTATATATGAAATTATAAGCTACTTTGTGCTTGTATTAGAGAGATTTCGCACATTAGTGAAAGTACAACTTATACGTATACGTATAGTTTAAAGGGTCATGTCGAACTATTATATTCACTGAAATCAATTTTAAATTGTACTTAATGGAACATAACTATTCCCGATATAGAAAAGCTCCATCAACTAGAGACTGTGAATGCACTGTCATCTGCACGTGTAGATTATGCACATTATAATTAAATGCTTGCCTCCGTGTCCTAGTAGTTGTAGTGTATTATAAACACAATCCTTTAAAGTGAGTCATGATCCTTTAAAGCGAGGCATTACATAAACAAGTTGATTATTTCAAAGTTTTCATGATCAGTATAAGTTCAATGAACTTACAAAACGGTAAAAATACGTAAATGATAAACGTATACAGTTGGATCTCCGTATAAAACTTTACCTACATGTGTGTGGAACAATTGACCGCCAGGATTTTTTGAAATTAATTAATTGGCTGAGTAGGAACAGTATCCAATCAAATACTTTGACCATCAATTTGAAACACCAATCAAACCAGTAGGTTCTAGCAATTCCTGGAAACGATCCATTCAGTAGCTCAACAAATGACATACAGGGTGTTTCATAACGAGCATCTCCAAAAAGTCAATTTGAGAAGAGATATATGAGCCTATTTTATTCTAGACAAACACATTTGGATCAACTAAACATGCTACAATTCAAGAAAGTACAAATGGCATCCCTTTGACCTTTATTTATTACAGTCCGAGAAGATCTTTCCTGACGAAAAGCCCACATTATGAAACACCTTGTACGTTTACCTATAAGTATAAGTATACGTTATAAGTTGTACTTTCACGCGGTGCGAAATCTCTCTAATGTCGTAATGATGAGGTACATCCTTTCAAAAACTCATTTTTTTGCATTCAGAAATATTTTGGGTGTGGTCCTGTGGCATTGATATGGTATCATTGGTATCATGTGATTAAAATACAATCTATGATTGGCTTAGGATGAGATAGAACAAATTAACTTTAACAGTTTTCTGAGTTCTTGCTTTGGGATAATTTAATTCATTTGGAAAACTGATTTCACTGACATAGAACAAGTTGAATACTGGAAATCACATGTTTATTTATAGCTATATTTCACATTTGGGACCATGTTAGATGGAAAGAGCACAGTCAACTTAGGTGGAAACCGCATTTATCTCATTGTGGTCAAAAAGTGGCATAGAACACTTTGGCTCTTGAACACCGATATGTATCATTTGAACTCTCTTTGTTCAACCTTATTTCTGAGACTATTATAAAGTGTTACAGTGTCCAACGTTTTGGTGGCCAGTCTTTGGCGATTGGTGTTCACTTTGACAGCATTTGGTATCTGTAACAAATGGCAGGTAGTCACATTTTGCAATACCTTGTCTCGTTTTGGTTATACATGTCAATGTGACCCTCTGCTGTGTTGATTGCTTATGGCCTAGTCACATAGCCCGGCCGATGTCCGGCATCGGTAGAGCTCGGTGGATTTTTTTGGTGCCACCGAGCTCTCCTCATCGGAAGCAGAGCTCGGTGACGTGAACGGACTCCGTCCGGACATCTTCAGGCGACCGACCGAACACCGGCCGGTGACCGTACGGAGTCTGTCTCAAAATGGTAGTTTTTTTCTGCCGATGTGGCAGCAACTACCGGCCGGAGGTCGGCCGGACATCGGAAGGAATACGGCCGGTACCCGAGCAGGTAACAGGACACCGTGCGATCGCCGGCTGGGTTGTTAACGGGCCTTGAACAGTGACCGGCCGATGCTCTGTCCCACATCGGCCGGAGCTCGGTCGGAGCTCGGCCGCTGTCCGTTAAAAAACCTCGTCCTCTGGTTGTCTCAGATGCACGGGACACCGGCCGATACTCGGCCGTGCACCGGCCGACGTGTTTTCCGATGTGGTTACGATGGGGCTGCGATGACATGATGAGGGAGCTCGGTGAGCCGAGTTCGGTGAAAATTGCATCGCTGGCTCATCGTAACCTCATCGGCCGGGCTATGTGACTAGGCCATTACACTATGTTTAATAAGAGCTTGATTGCTAAATTATATGATATTCTGAGGTCTAAAGTTGGCTTCATTATCTGAATCAGTTATATAAAGTGCAACTCTCCTTCTAAATCTTACTGTGACTATTGTTGGCAATAAGATACAGGATCAAAAAGGATTATTGAAATATAATCAGCAAAGATTTGAGTGTACATATACAGTCATATAAGGTGTTTCATTCATTGAGAATTTTAGATATGTCTATAATGATATGAAGGTCCCCAAATAAAGAATCAAATAAAGAAGCCAAATATCCACATACTTTAAGTAGTGTTGTAGGTAAATAACATACGGGAATGCAATCAATATCTGAGGTGAGTGGGTGATATATATAAATATCACCCACTCATCAGCAATTGCTGGGAATTTCGTTCGATTCTCTTTGTGCACTGAAAGATATAAACACTGTAAAATATAAACTGTGCATGTATTTGATTGTTATAATTGTAATTATCATTTGTAATAATAACACAAGGATTCCATAACATTCAATACATACTTAATCCTCATAATCTACTAAGTATAGGATAAATCAGTTATTAAATTCTTGATTTTTGGTACAGGGTATATCCTTCATTAAATACAATACATCAACCCTTGGTCCCTGCTGTCCCTTGGGTCGATTTCCCTCAGATATTAAAAAATCTCCCATTAAATAAATTCTATATATCATTTCTTAATACACACATTTTTGCCTAAAACACATTAAATGCAACATTAATTACCAATTTCTACGTTATCATTTATGTTGTTTTAAAGATTTGTCGTTGTTGCTTCAATATTACAGAAAAACTCATTTCTCCAGGTTTTGGAGATTGTGCCCCGGGAATTGTAGGATTGATTTAACATCGTCAGAAAGGTAGTGAAGGTGCACAATGAACAAAATGAATTTTGAGAATGTTGGATCATATGAAGAAAACCCAAAAGACCACGTGCAGTATGGCAAGTGATTTTAGACAGTCAATCTTTCACCATGAGTACTTTCTTGGCATAAATACATGACTTTTATTACAACAATATGTTTTCTTTCAAGTAAAGTCCCCGTGATAGTAAAATATCAATCCAACTCTCTGAAAATGGGTTAGAGCCCCACCTTGGCACTTTTTGAAAAATGTTGGCTTATTTTCTTAAAAGAGGATCTTGTTTTTCTCAATTTAAACATATCGAAAGTCTCCTCTACACTATATAATAACAATTTCTGAAAAGGGGATGGGTATTGAAATGAGTTAAAGTTAAAAACCACATATCCCATGTTATTTTCCCATATGGAAAACTCGTGCTATCCATTGTTTTCAGCATAATTTTGGTCATCGAAAATTGATATCTTCAAAACTAGACTTTCAATACCATTCTATTTTTGAACATGTCTTAGACCCCTTGTTGAATAATGTTTTCATGCAATAAAAATCAGAAAAAGAAGATCCTCTTTTGAGTAAATAGGTTCAATATTTTGAAAAAATGTTGACATTGGATCCCTATTCACAATTTTTCGAATTGTTTGATTTATATTTTTATCATCATGGGTACTTCACTTAAAAGAAAACATATTGTTTTGATAAAAACCACTGTATTTATGCCAAGAAAGTACTCATGGTGAAAGATATGACCGTCTAAAATCACTTGCCATACTGCACTTGGTCTTTTGGTGTATGTAGAAGAGATCTGATCTGAAAATGAAAAAGGCAACAAAGAATTGATCATAAGTTTAAATGGAAAGTTATCACAGTTTGCAATTTATATTTTGCATTTTTGTTTACATTTTGTTAAAAGTTCAATAGTCCTGTTTTTCATGAAAAATCCTTGATTTTTAAGGTACATACGCATGATGAGCATTTTTGTGTCATGTTTTATGATTCTTACGAATGAAATTAGTGATATGTTCCATATTTTAATGTGGATATTCCCATTGTGGTAGAATGCAAAAATAAAAATAAATTATTTACAATAAAAAATCACATTTTTGTGAACTACCTTCATATAGATTATTTTGCCATTATTCTGGCACAACAACTGAAAAATCATCAGTTTCATTCTTCTACCTTGGCAAGTTTATTGGAAAGATTGCATTGCTCCTAATTTTATTCTCTATTGTATACTCTTTGCTCCCAATAATGGTATTTCATTGCAAGGTTGTCTGTTAGACCCTTTATTAGACTGTAATGCTATGCAAGTACATTACAAGGTATTACCAGAAGGTGATTGGGTGCATTCTAAGCATGCAAGCCTGCAGTCAGGGGGTGAATTACTTCAAAAGCATGTAGTTTTCACTATTTCGAGCACTTTTGTAATTTTTGTTCAGAATTATCATATTTTAGCCCCCCCCCTGGAAATTTTTAAAAACTGACCCCAAGAAGTGACCTCCCCTTGTACTACAGTGCTATGTATATGTTGATATAGTCACTATACTATAAAATATTAGCCGATCTATTAACAAAGATAAAGCTCTCAATTTGGCGAGTTATGAAACTCCTAAAAAATCAATAATATCTTTTATAACTTTACTGATGTAAAGGTAGAACTAAACCTCATACTTAAATATCTGTTTAACAGTGACTATAATAATATATAATGCATGAGCTGTCTGCATTGTTGAACCATTTTGGTGCCTTTTAATTGGGGGATTCTGTGATGATTTATTTTTTATTTTAATTTGCATTACTAGTCAATCAGTTATGAAATAATGAAAACTGATAAAATACTGGACAAATTCATTTTCCAAAAGCCCATGAAACAGCCAATTAATCTGTAGAAGCCTATTATAAAGTGGCTGTCAGACCAGAGACCTCCTGTCGTATTCTAGCATTTTATACAGCAGGGGGATACATTCATGTAGTGTATCTCCTGATTCTGAGACCTTTGAGTTACTTTATATTCCAGGTGGTTTTATTGTTGGTATATTGGATTAAGGTCTTATAGTATTATTATACAACTGTATTGTTTGCATGCAAAGCCTACATGTGTTAAGATACATGGCTTCACATGTACAGTATATGCAGTAATATCAAACACGTGTCCTGGATTTAGTATTGATCCTAAAAAAGGTAAGTTTCTTTTGGTTATTTGTTAATTGATTTAATGTTAATGTTTAATACTTTGTTAATTGATTTAATTTTAATGTTGAATAATTTGTTAATTGATTTTTTGATTGCTTTATTATTTAGGGGAATACATTCAAATGATTAAAGATATCCGAAATATAAAACAAAAAGTTAAAAATGATTTACAAATTCTTAGGTTGCAATGTGTTATCCTATAGTTCAACATGCTGCAAATTTTGATGCAATTTTTTTACCAACTGATGATTTATATTTTATGGTGGAATAAATAGTTCAAAATCATTTTTCATATATTGGCTCAAACTTTGTTGTATCAATTATTTTTGAAAGTTTGGAGCTACTTTACAGTTTAAAATATCTTGGTTTGAATGTGTTGTCTAAAATTGGAGAGGCATCCTAATTAACATTATTTTTAATTAGGCTTTAGTCTCATTGTTTGTAGGTTATTCATTAGTTTTATAACTTCCTTCTCAGCTGGAGTGTAATACTGTGAAACCCGGGTTGTGAAATTTACTTTGTCACTTGATAATGATCATTAACAAAGGAAGTTTTTATTTAGAGTAAAAAGAATAATACTGTATGGATTAATAATATTAGAGATATGTTATTATGAGTTGACATGGAACATGTGGAACAAGATCTTGTAGACAACTAGGTTGTAAATTTAGAATATTTGGAAAAATTGTTTGATGGAGAGCTATATATTAGAATTGTCAGAGGCTATACAAGCAAAATCCAAGTTAAGAACTTATGTTACATTTAAGAATGGGCTTTCAATCTATAGAAGATAGAATATACATTATATGTGATGAAAACAAAGTGGAGAATGAAACACATTTTTATTCCACTGTACTAATGTAGAAATGATGATATAAGGTAAAAATAATTCAGTAAGAAGTTGATAAAATGAAAGTCTTTTCAATGAACACACCTGTAAGATAGTTTAATATAAAAAAGAAGCATTTACATTAAAGCAAGGCAATACATTCATAATGACTTGCTCTAATATACGCTGTTAGAATATAAAGCACTATTGCTGAAATCTTAATTTTTATAATTTGTAAAAAGTGGTTGATAAGCCCAAGGTGGGTTGGGTAAATTATCGTATTGTAATGTATATTTAATATATATTGTATGTAACACCAACCATTATAATATGAAATAAACTAAACTAAACTAATAACTGTTAAATTATTAATTAACTAATTAGTGTCAGCCATTCTGGTAATAGATCATGAACTAAATTATCATAATTGTTTTGTATATACTGCCAAACACATAGACACAGAGAATGATGTTTGCTTGATGTTTTGTAGAAATCCCAGGACTTGAACTATTTTGGCCTACTTAACAGACTTTGGCTCATTCACTAGGAACAACCATGGAAACGTTGGAGCAGTTCTACAAGTGGACAGAAGAAACAAGTGGTAAGACATTAACATGAAATATACATGTACATGTAGCATTGATCAATAAACAGCATGTTTCCATATAGGATTGAGTGGTCAGAGTGGGGTTCATTACATTTTGCCTGTTTTATTTTCTATTATTTGTTGGGAAGTGATTATCAACACTGGTATGTAACATGATGAAATTTGATTTAGATGACATGTAGCTCTGGCACACAAACACTGCAAAGTGATGTTTGGAATTAGGTGACATGTAGCTCTAGCATAACACTGCAAAGTGATGTTTGGATTTAGGTGACATGTAGCTCTGGCACACAAACACGGGAAAGTGATGTTTGGATTTAGGTGACATGTGGCTCTGGCACACAAACACTGCAAAGTGATGTTTTGATTTAGGTGACATGTATCTCTGGTACACAAACACTGCAAAGTGATGTTTTGATTTTGGTGTCATGTAGCTCTAGCATAACACTGCAAAGTGATGTTTTGATTTAGGTGACATGTAGCTCTAGCATAACACTGCAAAGTGATGTTTTGATTTAGGTGACATGTAGCTCTAGCATAACACTGCAAAGTGATGTTTTGATTTAGGTGACATGTAGCTCTAGCATACACTGCAAAGTGATGTTTTGATTTAGGTGACATGTAGCTCTAGCATAACACTGCAAAGTGATGTTTTGATTTAGGTGACATATAGCTCTAGCATAACACTGCAAAGTGATGTTTTGAATGTGGCTGTGACATAAAAACTGATGTTATGATTAGTTACCTTTTAGGCCCTGACATGATGTTTGGATTTACACCCTAACATGTAAAAGAGATGTTTGGATTTAGCCCCTTGCATGTAAAAGAGATGTTTGGATTTAGCCCCTTGCATGTAAAGAGATGTTTGGATTTAGCCCCTTGCATGTAAAAAGATGATTGGATTTAGCCCCTTGCATGTAAAAAGATGTTTGGATTTAGCCCCTTGCATGTAAAAAGATGTTTGGATTTAGCCCCTTGCATGTAAAGAGATGTTTGGATTTAGCCCCTTGCATGTAAAGAGATGTTTGGATTTAGCCCCTTGCATGTAAAAAGATGATTGGATTTAGCCCCTTGCATGTAAAAAGATGTTTGGATTTAGCCCCTTGCATGTAAAAAGATGTTTGGATTTAGCCCCTTGCATGTAAAGAGATGTTTGGATTTAGCCCCTTGCATGTAGAGAGATGTTTGGATTTAGCCCCTTGCATGTGAAGTACAAGTACCTGTATGGATCATGTTTATATTAGCTGATAAAAGGGAAACAAATTTCAGCTTGTATGAGGTAGTTTTTATTTTCTGGAAATATGTGTTTACCAGAAAACAATTCTTAAGAATTTTTATAAAAAACACTAGGTCCACACCCTTTATTGTAACTGGCTTGCTATTTAATATGCATTTACATGTAAAGTGCACATTGCATACTTTAATAACATATGCAATACATAGTCAATTGTAAATGTACATTGTGCCATGAATGTTTATGATATAATCTTCTTTTTAGTTATAATATGGGCTAATACAAAATGTATGTAAATGGTTGGATGGTTTTAGATAAGTCCATGTGATCCCATCAAGCCATCATTACTAAGGAGCTACATCGACTATATCCCATGGTGTCCCAAACAAAAAGCTACACTTCCTCGAAATTTTTCTCTGTCGAATTTCATCTCCCATACTATACCACCCCCTTTATATGAGTCTTGGATTATTTCATTTCACTCAGTTTTCCATTAACTACGCAATACCCCCCTCTCCACCCACCCCCCCCTCACCATCCATTTCCAAGCCAACTCTGTACTCATAATGAACGTCAACAAAAGTGGTTGTGTAGTAACATGTAGTAAGTGAGTGTGTGGCACCAATTGACCCTTCAGTTATCAGTTATGACCAATGTAAAATAATTCAACTTGTACAACTGCTACACTTGAATGTGTTTGGGTGTATTGGATGAGCACTTACAATGTTATCTGCATAAGGGCTGGGCATATCAACATCATTATCATGGTCATGTACATGTGCTTAAAGGTCCTGTTTATAAAAACACTGGCTGTGCATCAATTAATGTATTAATATAAATGGTGTAATGTGATGAGGGGTCAACACAGAAGCTTTAAGGTAGACCCGTTGTAATGAGAATGAATACAATTAGTGGATATTTACACATTTTGGTAGAATACATAATTCAAATGCAAAGTAATTCCCCACTCAAATCGCCTCTCACAAAGATCAAGTGCCTTTTTTAAGTGCATTGTAAAATCTATAATTTATATATATATCCAAACCTGTTTTAGAGAACACTTCTCTAAAATGTACTCCTTAATTGAAAAACTAGATTTGCAACTAGATTGAAAGTTAAATGACTGCATCATGTCTGAATCACAAAGTCAAGTCTGAATCACAAAGTCATGTCTGAATCACAAAGTAATGTCTGAATCACAAAGTAATGTCTGAATCACAAAGTCAAGTCTGAATCGCAGTCATGTCTGAATCAAAAAGTAATGTCTGAATCACAAAGTCATGTTTGAATCACAAAGTGATGTCTGAATCACAGTCATGTCTGAATTGCAAAGTCATGTCTGAATCATAAAGTCATGTCTGAATCATAAAGTCATGTCTGAATCACAAAGTCATGTCTGAATCACAAAGTCATGTCTGAATCACAAAGTGATGTCTGAATCACAAAGTCATGTCTGAATCACAAAGTCATGTCTGAATCACAAAGTAATGTCTGAATCACAAAGTCAAGTCTGAATCGCAGTCATGTCTGAATCAAAAAGTAATGTCTGAATCACAAAGTCATGTCTGAATCACAAAGTCATGTCTGAATCACAAAGTCATGTAGAATCGCAAAGTCATGTCTGAATCACAAAGTCAAGTCTGAATCGCAGTCATGTCTGAATCAAAAAGTAATGTCTGAATCACAAAGTCATGTCTGAATCACAAAGTCATGTCTGAATCACAAAGTCATGTCTGAATCACAAAGTAATGTCTGAATCACAAAGTCAAGTCTGAATCGCAGTCATGTCTGAATCAAAAAGTAATGTCTGAATCACAAAGTCATGTCTGAATCACAAAGTCATGTCTGAATCACAAAGTCATGTAGAATCGCAAAGTCATGTCTGAATCGCAAAGTTATGTCTGAATTACAAAGTCCCAGTTATGTATGATTCACAAAGTAATAACTGAATCGCAAAGTCATGTCTGAATCACAAAGTCATGTCTCAATCACAAAGTAATGTCTGAATCAAAAAGTCATGTCTGAATCACAAAGTCATGTCTGAATCACAAAGTAATGTCTGAATCACAAAGTCAAGTCTGAATCGCAAAGTCATGTCTGAATCACAAAGTCAAGTCTGAATCGCAGTCATGTCCGAATCAAAAAGTAATGTCTGAATCACAAAGTCATGTCTGAATCACAAAGTAATGTCTGAATCACAAAGTAATGTCTGAATCACAAAGTCAAGTCTGAATCGCAGTCATGTCTGAATCAAAAAGTAATGTCTGAATCACAAAGTAATGTCTGAATCACAAAGTCATGTCTGAATCACAAAGTCATGTCTGAATCACAAAGTGATGTCGAATCGCAAAGTCATATCTGAAGCATAAAGTGATGTCGAATCACAAAGTCATATCTGAATCATAAAGTAATGTCTGAATCACAAAGTAATGTCTGAATCGCAGTCATGTCTGAATCAAAAAGTAATGTCTGAATCACAAAGTCATGTCTGAATCACAAAGTCATGTCTGAATCACAAAGTCATGTCTGAATCGCAAAGGCATGTCTGAATCACAAAGTTATGTCTGAATCGCAAAGTAATGTCTGAATAGCAAAGTCATGTCTGAATCACAAAGTTATATCTGAATCACAAAGTCATGTCTGAATCATTAAGTTATGTCTGAATCGCAAAGGCATGTCTGAATCACAAAGTTATGTCTGAATCAAAAAGTCCCAGTTATGTATGATTCACAAAGTCATAACTGAATCGCAAAGTCATGTCTGAATCACAAACTTATGTCTGAATCGCAAAGGCATGTCTGAATCGCAAAGTAATGTCTGAATCAAAAAGTAATGTCTGAATCACAAAGTCATGTCTGAATCACAAAGTAATGTCTGAATCACAAAGTTATGTTTGGATTTAGCCCCTTGCATGTAAAGAGATGTTTGGATTTAGCCCCTTGCATGTAAAAAGATGATTGGATTTAGCCCCTTGCATGTAAAAAGATGTTTGGATTTAGCCCCTTGCATGTAAAAAGATGTTTGGATTTAGCCCCTTGCATGTAAAGAGATGTTTGGATTTAGCCCCTTGCATGTAAAGAGATGTTTGGATTTAGCCCCTTGCATGTAAAAAGATGATTGGATTTAGCCCCTTGCATGTAAAAAGATGTTTGGATTTAGCCCCTTGCATGTAAAAAGATGTTTGGATTTAGCCCCTTGCATGTAAAGAGATGTTTGGATTTAGCCCCTTGCATGTAGAGAGATGTTTGGATTTAGCCCCTTGCATGTGAAGTACAAGTACCTGTATGGATCATGTTTATATTAGCTGATAAAAGGGAAACAAATTTCAGCTTGTATGAGGTAGTTTTTATTTTCTGGAAATATGTGTTTACCAGAAAACAATTCTTAAGAATTTTTATAAAAAACACTAGGTCCACACCCTTTATTGTAACTGGCTTGCTATTTAATATGCATTTACATGTAAAGTGCACATTGCATACTTTAATAACATATGCAATACATAGTCAATTGTAAATGTACATTGTGCCATGAATGTTTATGATATAATCTTCTTTTTAGTTATAATATGGGCTAATACAAAATGTATGTAAATGGTTGGATGGTTTTAGATAAGTCCATGTGATCCCATCAAGCCATCATTACTAAGGAGCTACATCGACTATATCCCATGGTGTCCCAAACAAAAAGCTACACTTCCTCGAAATTTTTCTCTGTCGAATTTCATCTCCCATACTATACCACCCCCTTTATATGAGTCTTGGATTATTTCATTTCACTCAGTTTTCCATTAACTACGCAATACCCCCCTCTCCACCCACCCCCCCCTCACCATCCATTTCCAAGCCAACTCTGTACTCATAATGAACGTCAACAAAAGTGGTTGTGTAGTAACATGTAGTAAGTGAGTGTGTGGCACCAATTGACCCTTCAGTTATCAGTTATGACCAATGTAAAATAATTCAACTTGTACAACTGCTACACTTGAATGTGTTTGGGTGTATTGGATGAGCACTTACAATGTTATCTGCATAAGGGCTGGGCATATCAACATCATTATCATGGTCATGTACATGTGCTTAAAGGTCCTGTTTATAAAAACACTGGCTGTGCATCAATTAATGTATTAATATAAATGGTGTAATGTGATGAGGGGTCAACACAGAAGCTTTAAGGTAGACCCGTTGTAATGAGAATGAATACAATTAGTGGATATTTACACATTTTGGTAGAATACATAATTCAAATGCAAAGTAATTCCCCACTCAAATCGCCTCTCACAAAGATCAAGTGCCTTTTTTAAGTGCATTGTAAAATCTATAATTTATATATATATCCAAACCTGTTTTAGAGAACACTTCTCTAAAATGTACTCCTTAATTGAAAAACTAGATTTGCAACTAGATTGAAAGTTAAATGACTGCATCATGTCTGAATCACAAAGTCAAGTCTGAATCACAAAGTCATGTCTGAATCACAAAGTAATGTCTGAATCACAAAGTAATGTCTGAATCACAAAGTCAAGTCTGAATCGCAGTCATGTCTGAATCAAAAAGTAATGTCTGAATCACAAAGTCATGTTTGAATCACAAAGTGATGTCTGAATCACAGTCATGTCTGAATTGCAAAGTCATGTCTGAATCATAAAGTCATGTCTGAATCATAAAGTCATGTCTGAATCACAAAGTCATGTCTGAATCACAAAGTCATGTCTGAATCACAAAGTGATGTCTGAATCACAAAGTCATGTCTGAATCACAAAGTCATGTCTGAATCACAAAGTAATGTCTGAATCACAAAGTCAAGTCTGAATCGCAGTCATGTCTGAATCAAAAAGTAATGTCTGAATCACAAAGTCATGTCTGAATCACAAAGTCATGTCTGAATCACAAAGTCATGTAGAATCGCAAAGTCATGTCTGAATCACAAAGTCAAGTCTGAATCGCAGTCATGTCTGAATCAAAAAGTAATGTCTGAATCACAAAGTCATGTCTGAATCACAAAGTCATGTCTGAATCACAAAGTCATGTCTGAATCACAAAGTAATGTCTGAATCACAAAGTCAAGTCTGAATCGCAGTCATGTCTGAATCAAAAAGTAATGTCTGAATCACAAAGTCATGTCTGAATCACAAAGTCATGTCTGAATCACAAAGTCATGTAGAATCGCAAAGTCATGTCTGAATCGCAAAGTTATGTCTGAATTACAAAGTCCCAGTTATGTATGATTCACAAAGTAATAACTGAATCGCAAAGTCATGTCTGAATCACAAAGTCATGTCTCAATCACAAAGTAATGTCTGAATCAAAAAGTCATGTCTGAATCACAAAGTCATGTCTGAATCACAAAGTAATGTCTGAATCACAAAGTCAAGTCTGAATCGCAAAGTCATGTCTGAATCACAAAGTCAAGTCTGAATCGCAGTCATGTCCGAATCAAAAAGTAATGTCTGAATCACAAAGTCATGTCTGAATCACAAAGTAATGTCTGAATCACAAAGTAATGTCTGAATCACAAAGTCAAGTCTGAATCGCAGTCATGTCTGAATCAAAAAGTAATGTCTGAATCACAAAGTAATGTCTGAATCACAAAGTCATGTCTGAATCACAAAGTCATGTCTGAATCACAAAGTGATGTCGAATCGCAAAGTCATATCTGAAGCATAAAGTGATGTCGAATCACAAAGTCATATCTGAATCATAAAGTAATGTCTGAATCACAAAGTAATGTCTGAATCGCAGTCATGTCTGAATCAAAAAGTAATGTCTGAATCACAAAGTCATGTCTGAATCACAAAGTCATGTCTGAATCACAAAGTCATGTCTGAATCGCAAAGGCATGTCTGAATCACAAAGTTATGTCTGAATCGCAAAGTAATGTCTGAATAGCAAAGTCATGTCTGAATCACAAAGTTATATCTGAATCACAAAGTCATGTCTGAATCATTAAGTTATGTCTGAATCGCAAAGGCATGTCTGAATCACAAAGTTATGTCTGAATCAAAAAGTCCCAGTTATGTATGATTCACAAAGTCATAACTGAATCGCAAAGTCATGTCTGAATCACAAACTTATGTCTGAATCGCAAAGGCATGTCTGAATCGCAAAGTAATGTCTGAATCAAAAAGTAATGTCTGAATCACAAAGTCATGTCTGAATCACAAAGTAATGTCTGAATCACAAAGTTATGTCTGAATCAAAAAGTCATGTCTGAATCGCAAAGGCATGTCTGAATCGCAAAGGCATGTCTGAATCACAAAGTAATGTCTGAATCACAAAGTCATGTCTGAATCACAAAGTCATGTCTGAATCACAAAGTGATGTCGAATCGAAAAGTCATATCTGAATCATAAAGTGATGTCGAATCACAAAGTCATATCTGAATCATAAAGTAATGTATGAATCACAAAGTAATGTCTGAATCGCAGTCATGTCTGAATCAAAAAGTAATGTCTGAATCACAAAGTCATGTCTGCATCACAAAGTCATGTCTGAATCACAAAGTGATGTCTGAATCGCAAAGGCATGTCTGAATCACAAAGTTATGTCTGAATCGCAAAGTAATGTCTGAATAGCAAAGTCATGTCTGAATCACAACGTTATGTCTGAATCACAAAGTCATGTCTGAATCACAAAGTGATGTCGAATCGAAAAGTCATATCTGAATCATAAAGTGATGTCGAATCACAAAGTCATATCTGAATCATAAAGTAATGTATGAATCACAAAGTAATGTCTGAATCGCAGTCATGTCTGAATCAAAAAGTAATGTCTGAATCACAAAGTCATGTCTGAATCATAAAGTTATGTCTGAATCGCAAAGGCATGTCTGAATCACAAAGTTATGTCTGAATCGCAAAGGCATGTCTGAATCACAAAGTTATGTCTGAATCACAAAGTCATGTCTGAATCGCAGTCATGTCTGAATCAAAAAGTAATGTCTGAATCACAAAGTCATGTCTGAAACACAAAGTTATGTCTGAATCAAAAAGTTATGTCTGAATCACAAAGTTATGTCTGAATCAAAAAGTCATGTCTGAATCGCAAAGGCATGTCTGAATCGCAAAGTCATGTCTGAATCACAAAGTCATGTAGAATCGCAAAGTCATGTCTGAATCACAAAGTCATGTCTGAATCGCAGTCATGTCTGAATCAAAAAGTCATGTCTGAATCATAAAGTTATGTAGAATCGCAAAGTCATGTCTGAATCACAAAGTCATGTAGAATCGCAAAGTCATGTCTGAATCATAAAGTTATGTCTGAATCGCAAAGTCATGTCTGAATCACAAAGTCATGTAGAATCGCAAAGTCATGTCTGAATCATAAAGTTATGTCTGAATCGCAAAGTCATGTCTGAATCACAAAGTCATGTAGAATCGCAAAGTCATGTCTGAATCACAAAGTCATGTCTGAATCGCAGTCATGTCTGAATCAAAAAGTAATGTCTGAATCACAAAGTCATGTCTGAATCATAAAGTTATGTCTGAATCGCAAAGGCATGTCTGAAACACAGAGTTATGTCTGAATCAAAAAGTCATGTCTGAATCATAAAGTTATGTCTGAATTAAAAAGTCCCAGTTATGTATGATTCACAAAGTCATAACTGAATCGCAAAGTCATGTCTGAATCGCAAAGGCATGTCTGAATCACAAAGTAATGTCTAAAACAAAAAGTCATGAATACAACACAGAGTTGAAGCTATATCACAAAATGTGCTTATTTCACAAAGTCATGGCTGTATCACAAAATAATCTATATTTGATTTCTCACAATCCCATTCCCATATTGAATGTATATAATATCATTGCAGATCCAAGGACTAGAGACTGGCTTCCACTGCAAACACCATGGCCAATCATCTGTATCTTCATATCTTATATATTGAATGTACATAATATCATTACAGATCCAAGGACTAGAGACTGGCTTCTACTGCAAACACCATGGCCAATCATCTGTATCTTCGTCTCCTATCTCACCATGATCTACATTGGGCCAAAACTTATGAAAGGTCACCAGGCCTGGAATCTGAAGAGCGTTCTCATTCCATACAACTTTGCTCTTGTCATTTTGTCTTTTTATATGTTTTATGAGGTGAGTCATTTTGTCTTTTTATTATATGTTTTATGAGGTGAGTCTCTTCTGGTTACTCAAACATTGAGTTGTTTGATTTTGGTATGTCCTCCTCATTTTGCTGGAAGATATTTACTGTACTGTTGATTTTCTTTATATTATGCTTTATGTTTTTATTACTTGTTGGGAAACCAATAGCAGCTGTAGAAAGTTCATTGTGAAATGTGAAACTGCTTTATTTCTTAATTTAGTATTCCGTGTCTGACTTTTTTTTCTCAACTGTTAAACAGAACGATGAAGAGTTGTGCATTGTAGCCTATATGAGAGTTGTGCATTGAAGCCTATATGATGAGAGGTGTGAATTGTAGCCTATATTGTACTGTGAGTACTTGTGATTTTATTTTCTGTATTGTATTGCAGTTCCTTATGTCTGCTGCACTGGCAGGGTACAGTCTAAAGTGTCAACCTGTAGACTACTCCAGAGATCCACTTGCTCTGCGGGTAAGTTTGTGTAAAATTTGTGTTTCTTAATGGTAGGTTGAACTGGGAATTCATGAATTTCTTAGTATTGAATACTGGATAATATTACAATTTAATTATTTAGGATCAAATGGCTATGTGTCATCATTTGTTAAAAACATTGCAAAAATATTGTTGTTCTTATTGTATTCCTTTATTGTGGTATTTCTCTTTTTTTGTATTTTATATTGTATTCCTTATTTTTTTCTTTTGTATAATCACCAACTTGCGAGGCCTGTTCTCGGGGTATTAGTACTAGTTTAAAAGGCTTTTGTTTTATTTTAGTATTTTGACTTGAGCGATAGTTGGTGATAATACTAATAACCTCATTTCATCGGGCAACATAGTTAAATCTTGGCCCAAGAGCCTTCTGAGATTATTGGTATATTGTATTCCTTTCTTATTGTACGTTCTCATCTTATCGCATTTCTATTATATTCCACCAAATGAACTCAAATACAGGTTGACTGATTTGGTTCAAATTTTATATGTTGATAGGCATAGAAGCTCTGCTCAAGAATGATTTTTCCAGTATGGCTTCTTAGTTCAAAATGGCCACCATTTGATAACTCAAATACCCATTGTTGGATTTGGTTTAAATATATTTTCTTTTGTTTTCCTCTTTTTTTATTGATTTTCTTTTCTCATTGCAATCCTTTCTTATTGCAGATGGCAAGTGTATGTTGGTGGTTCTTCTTCTCAAAAGTTATTGAACTACTGGACACTGTGAGTATCTTTTGTTGACGATTATATTTACTGTCTTAAATCTAGAAACAAACAAAACAATTTCATGATCAATCAAAACTATTTTGTAAGTGTTATATGTAGGCTCATCTCTGCACCAAGTGCTCATATTTTAGCAAGCAAGTGTTATATGTAGGCTCAGCTCTGCACCAAGTGCTCATATTTTAATGACCACATGTTTTATATAAGCTCATCTCTGCACCAAGTGCTCATATTTTAGCAACCAAGTGTTATATGTAGGCTCAGCTTTGCACCGAGTGCTTTTAGCTCTACACTGAGCGCTCATATATCAACACCAAGTTGTCAATGTAGGCTCAGCTTGCATGTTCATGTAATGTAAACATGAACGCATGATTAACCTTATTTTCAGCTGTTCTTCATCTTAAGAAAGAAGGAGAACCAGATCACATTCCTCCATGTGTACCACCATTGCACAATGATCATCAACTGGTACTTGGGGGCAAAGTATGTCGCAGGAGGCCAAGGTATTTAACAAGAATCTTCACACATTTAGAAATCATTCTATAAAAGAGAAATTCAATAGTTTAAGGTGCAAGCAGAGAAGAAAGAGAATAATAAACATTCGTTGATGTAAAAATCAGAAACATTCTAGAAAATTATTTGAGATATAAAACATTGAAGTAATTGTATGCAGAAATGCCCCAAAAAATTAAAATAAGAAATGCCCCATTTTCAGTCAAATAACCTTACAACTCATCTCTTTGCTTTGGCCCTTCTTTGGATTACCTGCAATTTTAGAATGGCTTTATATAATTTACAATGATCTCTTGCATGTTATATTTCAGCATTCCTCTTAGCAATGATCAACTCATTTGTACACATCTGGATGTACTCTTACTACACATTAGCAGCTGTTGGGCCACACATGCAGAAATATCTCTGGTGGAAGAAGTATATGACAACGCTACAGTTGGTATGGACATGTTAGAATATTTGAATTTCCTGTAATTTCAACCAAAAGAGTTAAGATCCTTAGATCATCAAATATGACACTATACACTGTAATATACCTAATGCATGCAAATTGATATACACACTTTCCACACTCAATAGCATAGATCAAGTAAGTTATTATTTCAACCATTAATTTGATGAGTTCATTAGACTTGATAGGATTTTTTTAAATTTGTGATGTCATCATGTTATGGTATGATGTCACTTAGGGTGCATTATTTTTTTTCTTTCATGAGTCTGTTCTAAATATGTTTGACTCCCAAAATAATGCAATGTTGTTCATTGTCTAAACTGAAAATAACTGTTAATCATGTTTTAAATGTTGGTTTCAATAAGAACTAGAATTTATGTTGTATTTTTTCTCTGAACCATTTTTCTGTGCTTATGTGTAAATTGCTACCTTATTTGCCAACCTTCAATTTTTTCTATGCAAAGGATGTATAGTATATATGCTATGGTGGAAAGGTTTACTTATTAATAGATGCTTGTGTCAACAAAAATAGTATTTTAAATTTTGAAACATTCAAAAATAACTTAATTTTGATATTATTCGGTAAGTCTCCAGTGTTCAAAAATTATTTGTTAGCATATGTTGTTTTGAAATTCAATGATTTCACTTTTGTCATTAAATTGGCATTTTCCACATGTCCCCCTCTGAGATAAACACTAACACATTTTGCTTGTTCCAAAATAGTTTACTATGTACATAATTGTAAAATAACATGCATATTGCACTACACTTTCAAATCCAATGAATGTTTCCTTATTTATTTTCAGACGCAGTTTTTCATAGTTGTCGCACACACAGGCTACAATATGACGATAGACTGTAACTTTCCTCAGGGATTCAACTATGCTGTGTTCTTCTATGCCATAACTCTTATAATTCTATTTGGAAACTTTTACTACAAATCATATGTGGAAAAGAAAGCAACTAAGAAACAGTCTCAGAATGGAACTAGTCACTCAAAAGTTTCCAACGGATATCACTATGAGTTACGCTCTAGAAAACCTGAATCTAATGGCACCAATGGACATACAAATTAGGTTTCGGAGATTCAGTACTTGTAAATACTAGAAGTTTTTAATGATTTTATAACTGTAATATCCTGAAAGTACTGTTGACAAAGAAGGGAGGGTTGTTCAGAAACTGTCCAGTACATCAGTTTTGGATATTTTGTTTTAATTTATCATATGTACGGGTACACTAATATACCAGGTAGGCATAAAAAATGGGTTGTACTTTGTCACCTGATATCTCCATAACCTTATTATGTCCCCACCACATAGTGTGGGGCCATATTGTCGGCCTAGGCGCGTCTGTCTGTCCGTCTGTCCGTATGTCCGTCTGTCCGTCCGTCCGTCCGTCCGTACGTCCGGCAGTTTTCTCCAAAACCGCTACAGATATCACCTTCAAATTTTCAGGGATAACTTATGAGTGCATCTAGATGTGGATGAAAAAAATTTAACTCGATACCTACTTCCTGTCGGCCATTTTGAAGTCAAATGCTAAAATCCTTGTCTGTAAGCTTTAAGAAAAACGGCTTCACAGTTGCTTTTAAAACTTTAAAATCTTGTTCAGCTCACTTCATTCTAGATCTGATAAGGTTTTGGACCTGTTAGCTCAGTCATGTCAGCCATTTTGAATGTTTTAAGAAAAGTTAGCGCACGATAATACTTTGTATCATATTGAATGGTGTTTTTCAGTTTTCATACTTTAACTATTTAGTAGCTTTATAAACAATTTCAGGTGTACTTTGTTGTAAAAGCCTATGTTATTGTTAACAGTAGTTATATGTGATAATTTTGTAAAAAGAAATCAGCAAAAACTCATAATCACTTTTTTATTGTCGGCCATTTTGGATTTTTCCGTCCTAAAATATTGTCTGTAAAGTCTTGTCTACGCGTTTTTAGGTGAACCGTTTGGTAGATCAATTTCATAGTTTCAGGGATGATTCTTAGTATGAAAATCTAGATCTGATTAGTTTTTTGGCATTCTGGATAAATGTCAAGGCAGCCATTTTGGATTTTCTGTCTTAAAATCTTGCCTGTAAAGTCTTGTCTACGCGTTTTTAGGTGAACCGTTTGGTAGATCAATTTCATAGTTTCAGGGATGATTCTTAGTATGAAAATCTAGATCTGATTAGTTTTTGGGCATTCTGGGTAAATGTCAAGGCAGCCATTTTGGATTTTCTGTCCTAAAATCTTGTCTGTTAAGTTTTGTCTACGCATTTCCAGGTGAACCATTTGGTAGATCAATTTCAAATTTTCAGGGATGATTCTTAGTATGAAAATCTAGAAGAGATTAGTTTTTTGGCATTCTGGATAAATGTCAAGGCAGCCATTTTGGATTTTCCGTCCTAAAATCTTGTTTGTAAAGTCTTGTTTACATGTTTTCTGGTTAACTGTGTGAGGGATCAATTTCAAATTTTCAGGGTTGGTTCTTAGTATGAAAATCTAGAACTGACTAATTCTTTGGCATTCTGGGTAAATTCTATGGTGGCCATTTTGGATATTCTGTCCTCAAATTGTGTCGGTAAAGTCTTGTCTACTCATTTTTAGGGTAACCATTTGACGGGATCACCCATAGGTGGGGACATTTTGTACACATTTGTGTTCTTGTTACCTGTTTGCTTTAATCAAAGCTCTGTATCAAGCTATTGCCTTGAAAATTGAACAATACTTAAAAGTGCATTTGTAACATTTCATGAAAAAAAATATTTCTGCACCATCTTCGTAGAAGATGGAGTACCAATTGATCAATGTTACAAGTGTAACAAGGATTGACGTCATATTGAAATTATCCGGAACATGCGCCTTTGACTCATGTTTTTGATTTTGATCCCATTATCAGAAATGTTAAAGGATAGAACTGAATTGATATATCAGGGAGATAACCAGGTGCCGGAGTATAACCCATTTTTTATCCCCACTGAGTAAAGTAAAATATTGTTCTGCTATCCCACTTGGTTTCAATTTCTTTTTTGTTCTGTCCAATACCTGTTTATCTAGATCTTAGGTCTCAAGTCAACAGCACATTAAAGGTTTACAGTTTTAGTTTACAATTGAACAGTCAGGAGTGCTCTGCATTTGTATGATATCACTATATTTTATGACTACCTTGTGACTACAATTTTGGGTTAAATTTTATAACTGCATTATGTGACTGCAATGATGCTATTGTATGACTGCATTGTGTGGCTGTGTAATGTGACTATTGTATGACTGCATTGTTTGACTATTTTATCTGCATTTTGTGACTGAATGTGATATTTATTGTTTTTGGTTTCAAGCACATAACTGCCATGTCCATAGTCAAGAAAAGAATAAATTTTACATTGAAATATTTAATAACTATTGTCTGTTTCGATAGCCCAGTGCAGAAGACATAAAGATGTAACAAAGTTATCAGAAAGGCCTCTGTTAAACCAAAACCTCCTTGTTAATGACCCCTATTCTAACCAATGAGAATTAAAAATGCATATACCCAGGAACATCTCTACTGGTTGAGACTCAATCATAGCAAGATTCAAGATTTTATTGTGTTTCAAGCCAAAACAATTGGCTTCCTCACAAAATAGATTACAAGACATAGTAAAATGCATTGTTAACTCCCGACGTTGATTGAAAAGTTAATTTATAAAATGTGTCAATTCGTTTACAATTTCACAATCATCTGAAATCATTAAAAACTTAAATTTTTCTTCATCCAGCATATTGAAGCCTGGAGCTTTGTTTCTTTTTAATAGCTGTGGGTTCTTCATAAAATAATATGGATTGGTCTTTTAATTGTATAAAACAAAATTAACATACGCATAACACTGTTATTTATTCCAAATAAAAGAGTAAACATACAGTTATACATAAAAGTGTATAAAAAGTCTTCACTCTTCATAAGTCTTGAACATAAAGAAAAGAATAAAGATGAATCTAATGAGATATAAAATATGATGTTCTATGTCCCCCCCCCCGTCTAACACACTGCTGAAGGAAGAGAAAAACTCCCTTTTGAACACCGTATAAGCAAGACATGAAAAGATGGCAGCACTAGACGTTGACTGAGAATGAACAGCGGAAGTGAGATAATATTTTCAAATGTGTCAATAAAACTTAGTTTGTTAAAAAATTCATATCTGCAATCCTTTAAACCATCACACAAAAGAGGAAAATGCGCTTTTCATTCTCCACTTTCCCCTTATTGCAAATTTGACAAATTCTTAAGCATATCTAAAACAATCCCGATTAATAGAGGAGTTTCTTTAAAGTTTTGAAATTTTGCAAATGGCCTTCGCGACTGGATTTTTACCGATAGAGGTCAGGTCGGATCCGGGTTGTCAATTCTCAAGGTCACATATTAAAATACACAGGAAAATTCTGTAGCTCTGGCAAATCATTCATTTACTCGAGTTATAATCATGCCAGGAACAACTTGCTGCGTACCGTTGTGTAACAATAAGGGAGGACATTATTTCAAGAGCGATAGTGAGAGTAGGAAGCTTTGGATGGCCGCTATTAAGCGTGATAAGTGGACCCCAAATTTTGCAAATGCTGTCGTCTGCAAGAAACATTTTCTTCCAGAGGATTATATAACCCACGGCATTAATGGTAAATATCTATGCATTATTAAAACAAATAAGACAAAGATATAAATGTATTTAAGCGTAGCTAGTAATCGTATTCTACTGGCCTGAACGAATAAACAGAAATAAGAGTACGATTTTTGTGAGTCACCTATTATCGCCCACTGAATATTACGAAAAAATCAACTGCTGGTGTCATTATTGTTAACATTAAACATATACCTGTGCAAAGTATTTAAAGTTCGTTGGTTACTTTACAAAGTACACATGTAGTTTTGTTCATACATGGCGAGTTTTGACCCACATGTTTCTCTTTGCAATACAGATTCCGACTGATTATTTCAAACATAATTTTTTTCATTTTCAGGCAAGCCACTGAGATATCAGAAACTGAAACCCACTGCCGTCCCGTCAGTATTTGAATGGACAAAGAAGTCACAGTCATCTGTCTCCAGGGCCAAGAGATATTCCATGAAGAACCTAGGAAGCAAAACTACAGAGGTGGACAGTTCTTCAATAAAATCCCATATTGACAATGACTTGGATTTGTATGAGGAGAGAGTGACGGTGACTGAAGTTGAGAAATCAACAGTTGTACCACTCCCATGCCAATATTGCAGAAAGGTATCTGCAACTATAGGGACACAAACCCCTGTGTGGCCTGAGAAACAGCGGCCATTAATGACAGCTGAAGATTTTATTGAGGATGATGAGGGGATGCATTATTATACAGGTTTAGAATCTTATGAGAAGTTTAATTTTGTTCTTTCATCACTTGGTCCAAATGTGAACCATATCAACTACCGTTACTCTCAAGTGAAAACAAAAACAATATCAATCGAAGATCAATTCTTCCTGGTTATGCTGCTTCTTCGAAGGAATACTCCTCATTTTGAACTTTCACGAACATTTAAAATAGCTTGCAAGACAGTGAGTAACATATTTATTTCATGGATAAATTTCATGAAATGCCAGTGGGAGGAAATTGACATATGGGCATCCAGAGACCTTGTAAAATTTTTCACGCCAGCAGATTTCGCACAGAAATTTCCGACAACACGCATTATTATCGATGGCACGGAATGCCCCATCAAAAAGCCAAAAGCCCCTGCAGCCCAGAGATTAACATTTTCCACCTACAAAAACCGCAATACTGTGAAAACACTGATAGGTGCTACTCCAGGGGGTCAGTTTTCTTATTGTTCACCCGCATATGGTGGTAGTGCCAGCGATAGGCAGATCATCGAGCGATCTGACTTGAGTGGCTATGATCCTGGAGATAGTATTATGGCGGACAAGGGGTTCAATGTCCAGGACATATTTGCGCCGTACGATGTCAAGATAAATATACCAGAATTCTTTTCTAAGAAAAACCGGATGGATGGAGACACTGTTCTAAAGGATAGAAAAGTTGCCAGCAAGCGTGTTCATATCGAACGATTAATCGGTCTGTGTAAGACATACAATATACTTACAGAGCCGATGGACTCTACTGATGTTAATTTGGCAACATCTATAATGTTTGACATTATCATGATTTGCAATTTTCGAACATGCATCATGTCACCTACAATGTGACTTATTGGCCTAAGGATTTTTCTAAAAAAATGTTGACACAAGATGTATATGTATATGTAAAGAGCAAATAATAACATATAATGTAGACATGTCAGTCATTTTATTTGGTCTGAACTTGTAAATATTCAATGCAATCAAAAGTGATGTTTAGGCAAATGAAACATTTGTCAAAAATATAATATTAACAGTGCAATAAATGTATAAATAAAAAATATGTATTTTACAAAAATCAATCTACAGTATTTGTGAATTTGATTGAATAGTGTGTCATCTATTTCAAGTAATATTTCTGCAATCAACATGCCAGACATGTGCCAGACATTAATCATTATTAAAGAAAATAAAGTATTAGGTATGTTTGTTTAACATGTATAATCCCCAGGAATTAAAAATTGTCCCAGGCCCTTTTTTATTCTAGACAACAGCTGAAAAAACAAAAAAGTAATCAAATAGTATTTTTTGCAATCAACAAGCCTGGCACGTCCCGACTCTTAGTCTAATACATAACTTGTCATGTAAGACTGGAGCAAGTTTTAATCTGTCTATTTAGTAAATGACGTACCAGACCTTTAAAAAACAAAAATAGTACCTTTTTTAGATATTAGCCTTTGATTGCCTGATGGAAAATAGATTTACAAAAACCTTAAAACAAAAATTAATTTAACGAATGGGTTTGATAATAATTTGCATCAATTTACCGGTGAATTAGTGGCTTATTTAGTATTTTTTTTCAATCTGTTGATGTTTTCCGCCACGTGGGATTGTTTATAAACAACTATCACGTGACACTCAATGTACCCAATAGGCATTTGCTAATATAAATATCGACCAATGAAATCTCTTTTTTGATATGACGTATTTTAGTTACTAGGGCAGCAATTGTAAACAAATATGACTTAAATGCGTGATGATACAGTTTTAGCGTAGTTTTTATAACATTTCATTAGACTAATATTTCCAATCAGTTTCTTTCAGTTTCATACTTTGAAACGTTATTAAGGGACATATTAATTGTAGATTTGCAATTGTTGACTTGGAAATTTACCGTATTTAAACAGGCTTAGAAATGACAAAGAAGGAAGAAATCTGCCACAAATTCTACAAGATTTCAGAAGTAGACTCGACTCGATAAATATTGTAAGACTGATTGGAAAACAATGATGGTGCAATGTTTAGTTTTTCTTGAGACATCATTCTATAGCTTCCGGCGGACAGGCGGATGATTGTAATCATTTAGGCTACGGATCTAGATCTAAGGATCCATGCATTTGACAGTGGATAATCTTTCTTATCCAACTAGAACAAGGCAATTATTGTTTTTAATCTCATTAGTCTGGAGTATAATTCCACTGACATCTCATAGTGCCTGGAATGTCTCCGTGTTGTCAATCTTGTTATTAGTACCTGGCAAGAGATTAGGAGGGTTTTGCAGACTATTTGATTGTTTATTTGTTACAAACTGATAATAACAAACATGATACATATATTTGATATATTAACATTTTATATTATATTTTATCAGTACTTTATTCAACAACAATCAACATACAGCCCTGACTGGTTTATTGCTACAGTTTCCAAAAAGCTATACACCATTAATCTTGGTTACATATAAAGAATGCTCATACAAACGAAAACCTGTTGAAATCTCTGTAAAGTAATCTCTCAATGACACTGCTACAAAAATGGTCATTGAAAAAAGAAGAAATCTTAATGACCATTTCACTGATAAACTGATCATTCCTGGGAATCATTTCAACAAATAAGTCTTTTCTTGTGAAAATGACAAAATGGCATCTTTGTTTATCTGCACAATATAACTGCCCTTGCACTTGATAATAATAATCATGTTTTGTGTCCAAGTGAAGGTCCCCCTTAGAGTCCAGTTTCAAATAGGGAACTGTTTTCTCATTTATGAGTTTATTCCTTGCAGTGAAAGGGCATTTTATCTCTAATAACTCATCATCATTACCTTCAATGAGTCCATCTGGTGTGGCACTCATGTATGGTGTTTCTTCAGAAACAAAAATACCACATTCTCTGATGCAGAGGCCTGTTGTTGAAGAAAATTTATCTTTTGCTGTTTTTTCATATTTAATGCCATGATTTGTATATTTTGATTTGAATGTCTTGTGCACTACTAAACTTCTTGCAAGTTTGTCTTTATCAGTTCTTTCACCCGCAGTACACACACGTTTAAAATTAGATGCTGTTATTCTCTTACATCGTTCATTTTTCCATGTTTGACATGTATTCTGCCCACGTGTTGAAAGTTCAATTTTCAATATTTCTTCCTTTGAAATTGATGTTATATTTTCCTTCTCAAGAAATGTTGATTCATGGGATTTTTCTAAATAGTCATGGTCCTTAAATACAGCTTTTGTATCAGCTGGAGCGTGTAGCTGATTAATAGGCATGTTGGAGCGTTTGGCAAAATTAATACAGAGGTTTCGGAAATAATCTGGGTAACCTGGGTGATTGCGTAGATTTTCTGGGCGGGGATCATATGTAAAGTTCTTTGAATCATCTTCAGTCATTTTCAAATTCTCTGCTTTGACTGGCGAACCATGGTGTTTTGGTGCTTGATGGAATGACTGAAGCTTTTCAGTGCAGGTAAGTTGGACTTTCATCATTTTGCTTGAAGAAAAGTCTGTGATTGCACACAAAACTACAGATACATGCTTACAATGGCAATCTGGTCCCATGCCAACTGCGCATTCACACTGGGCTTCCTGAACAATACCATGGTTATCGATAGATATGTCAACATGATAGGTGAGCTGCTTTCTCATACTAGCATTCACTCCAGCTTTGACATAAGTCAGTCCTTTCCATATTACGCTGCGAATGTACTGTAAGTATCTGTCATCATACAGTTTCTGAGCTGTCAAATAGGACGATTTTTCAAATTGCTGCAAATAATTGTCAACATTTTCCTTGGTCATACATGGTATTGAACTGTCAGTGTTGACATCTTTGAATACCTTAGAATCGGGTAATGTCATATTCCAATCCTTTCTTTGGGTCTGTTCATTGCCAAAGTTTTGGTTGCGGTCGTAGTGAACCAGGCTGAAAAAAATAAACCAAAAATAATGGCTGTCAAAATAGTGTTGTTTTCCCGGGAGTAATTTACATATACTGCGTGAATAATTTTGAGACTAAATGAGTTTTAACTTGAGATAAGATATTATGTTAGATATAAATTAAATTGACGTTTAGAATAATTGCGTATTTTGAGTTATAAACACTAAATGTAAACGTATGAATTTTATTTCCGTGTTGACAAATCTGAACTCCAAAATTACAAAAATACACACCGATCGATCAGATCCTTTTTCTTGCCCGTACACCTCGCTTTGCGCCGCCTCAACTCCTCTTTCAAATCAGTTAACTTCCACGAATCGTATTTTCCAGACATTTTTCCTGGGGTTTGCATATTAGACCCCTCATGACTTACCTTTCCTTCTTTTTAATAGCATATTTGAGGTTTTCCACAATTTTAGCATCGATTAATAAAGTTGATTGATGCAATGTTAAAATTCTTTTAACAACCATGGTTTATTCTTTCGACAACCAAAATTTTCACAATTATGTTCATTAACATAGTCATCCCAAAATATGCCATTCAAGACAGATTCAACCAACACTTTAGAAGCCAATGACAATCTTCCCAACCAAAAAAATCAATATAAACAAGTGGTGACATCTATTTATTCAACTTAATTATAGCTACTCCCTTATTGGCTTAAGAATGAGGGTCCTTAAATAGTAGGTTTCACTTAATTTTCAGAATTTTTTGATGAATACTTAATGTATGATAGGGCACCAGAAAAACTGAATTTATTTTGAAAGTTGTTTTCATTGTGAAATTACTTGACAATGAGATTCCAATTGAACAACATAATTTCATTTGCAAGTTCAGCATTCTGTCATTAGTTCCCCTAATAGTAGAAGTGGAGTTTTATCATTCATTACAAAAAATAGTTCATTTTAAAACTTTTGATTCCAAATTCAACCAAGGAATGTTGCATGATTCAAGGAAACAATGCATGAAATTGAGAAATAAATGAGGAAATAAAAAAAATAGTAAGATCTTCCATTGTAATGAACCTCTAGAGTCTTCCAGACCATCATTCAGACAACCAGACAAAGTTGGTAAAAAATAAAGAATAATATTATTTTTTGAGAGTTCATTTTATTCCTTTATTCATGTACCTTTGTACATTATACTAGTAATAATACTGTAACTTAGTTTGATTGAAAATATAATTCATTCATACAGCCATTATAACAGTATAAAATATATATTGCATATACATGTATATTATATTATGTACAACATTTCTACATAACCCAGTCCTTTACCATAAGAAATATATTTCAATTGTTAATAAATTAGTATTACAATTAAATAGAGTATTTACAATGCAAGATTGATAAATGGAGATTTCATTTTCTCCAGATCACAAAATGTATTATAATTTTGTATTTAGTCCTTGTAACCCCTCCCCCATATATACCACCTCTGTTACTCGCCTCAAGCTTGGAAATCCAGAATGAGATCGGATTTTCATTAAATGATATATGTCCTCATGTCTTCTGGTTATGCATATGCATAACATATAATTTATGCAATGATCTTAACATATGGAAATTTGAAGTCAGACTAAAAACTCTTGAGAACATTAGAATAAAAATGTGAACATAATTACTTCTAATAAATATAGACACTACAATGAGTAAGGTTTACAAAATTCTTGTAAATGTCTTCACCAGGTTGTTCAAAAAAATCATGAGAATGCTCTAAATTCTTTTATTCTTATTGTTTGCTTCTCATCTATAACCATGTGCATCACAAAGGATGCAAGGAATGACCTTTGACCTGATTAACCCTTGACCTGATTAGCTCAGTATTATCAACCTTAGCCCCAAGTAAACAAATCCAATGTTTGACATAACATAGGATAATCAAAGTACAAAGAGATCTATGTCAAAACAGTGATTTGTAATTCTGTTGTAATTTTATGGTCAAGGTCTTTGAACATGCCTATTAATTACCCTGTCCAAAGTCTAGGGTGGCTTCAGTCAATTCCATAGTATCAACTTCTTACATGTCTGATAAGCAGTGAAGATCATAACAGGTACTCCTTTAATCCCAATGTTGACTAAAACTCAGATAAATTGATAACACCTTACACAACATATCTACAGCACGTGTTTGGTTACACTTTCATGCGGCAGTTCCTTGATATCTGGGTTACTGTTGCTCTTTATGAGTCCATCAAAGTTTGGCTGCGAAGACTCTGTCAGGGCTAACTGAGTATTTAGAATTTTGTCTATCATGGCAAAGTCCTGTCCACGTTTCTCAATATCTTTGTACTCAGTCCAAGACATATCATGTTCAAGCTTAAATGAGCCTAAAAACTCATGTGGACATGCTGGGCCCCATTCCTGCAAATGAAGTGCCATCTGTTATATTTTGTACACATTAAGAATATTTGGGACAAATGAAACCACTAATTTGTGTCAACTCTGGACCATTGGTCATAGTTTTATGGGTTCCCTGCTGCTAATTAAAGCCACTTACTCAGATTTTTCACAATTCCACTCAAGTTACAGTTTTAATGATGTGCTCCATATATTATGAATGCAAGACACATTTTTTCAAAATGCCCTTTCTCAATTATAAGATTTATTGTAATTCTTCTTCATAGCAAATGACAATTGCAGATTGCCTTCATATATAAATGCCTACTAACCGCTGGTGAGAGGATTGAGAAGTAGACCTGTCCAGAGTCTCTCTCGTAAAGGTGGTAGACAGTGCCGGGTTTCCTAACAAGGTTACACGCAGCATGATGCAGGTCCTGGTCTCTCTTAGCATCAATCAAAACCTATAATCATATTATAAATTGCAACATATTGTTATATTGTTGGTTTGGAGAGAAAATGTTCAAGAGACTGCATCAATGACCCAGATGCCAGTAAGGAGATTTCAAAACCAAGTGCCTAATTAGGGGGTCAGATAGTGTGACAGATATGGTACAAAGTACCTTTAAACTTAAATATTCATCAGGTTAAGTGAATCAAGTTCCATACTTTATAAATGGTACACATGAAAATATGTCCAGTAAATGAAAGTATCATCTGTCCAATACAAGAAAAGATATTCTACTTTTTGTGATAAACATAACTACATTTCCAGATATAGGTTCCAAATATGATATCACTTTGATTGAATTTGGAATATTTGATGATGTAAATTCAGTTCATTTCTACTGTATGCATCTAGTATATTGCTCTATCATTCCTGACATCACTCCTTCTGATTACTTCTCTTCATTCACCTTTAAATATCGCAATGATCTGAATCATAGCAATTGAGAAATACTTTCCTTAAACCTGCACATCGCTCCAAAACGCAATCTTAGGTTGTTTCGGGGGTGAACTTTATCATTTTGAGCTTAATGAAAGATTATAGAATGATGAACAAATGGGGCAAATCTTGTGTAGAAATACTTACGATAAATGTGTCATTTCAAAGATTTTTCATTGAATTGCTTCGATCGGCGCCGACGATATGATTTTGGAAAGGTTTCTAAATGAAGAACGTGACGTCACTTCCGAATCATAGCATTGGAAATAAGTAGCTTTTAATTACTTCAACCATTCATAAAAACGCGGTGGTGTAGCGGTAGAATTCTCGTTTAGCACGCGGGAGGCCCGGGTTCGAATCCCGCATTCGCCTTTTTATTTTTTTAACTAAATGATAGTTCTTTGATATTACGCAGAAAAAACAATTTTTATTTACATAAACTTTATATTAGAGCTTAAAAATGTAAAAACAATATATGTCAACATATTGCGTTTTGGAGCGATGTGCAGGTTTAAGTGAATAGTAGATATTGCGAACCAGCAACTCAATAGTTGTATATTGTGGATTTGTAATGGTGTATAAACTCTTTCAAGAGTGCGTGACAAAGTTCTTCCAAAGATATGATTCTAGAAAATGTTACCTTTTTGGCTTGTTCTTGTAAGTATCTGATCTGATCAGCTATCACTGTGAGCTTACTGCCTGCTGTTGCCCTGACGAACTGATCACCCTGGACACAAAACAAGATTAGGGGATTAGCCAGAATTTTTGGGTGACCTTATTTTTCACCATTTATTATCTGAATATTAGCATCATCAATGTGATGTTTCGCAATAGGCTGTAAATCAAAACAAACAATTTTTAATAGATATTGACCTTATGGGTGTTCATCTACTGGAAAAGTTGATGATAATAATAGCCTAATAGCATGTTGTTTATCCACATTGAAATAAATCGTGAAGTACCTTTTCTACAACTTGGGCAAGCTGCACCAGGTCCATAGGGTCACTGTTCCTGTTGGTCTGGTAAGAGTTAACCAGTTGGTGGCCATTTGGTGCACTGTTGCTCTCAACTAGGGAAACTGGGACAAAAATATAAATTAGTGCACAAAGTTAGTAAAATACTTATTCATTCAAAATAACAAAACACTCCACCTAGACAATACCCTATTGATCTAGTTTTTTTGAAAATTGGATGAAAAAGTTCAAAATAAAGCCTAATATGTTAAAATTTGGTATTCATAATACAAAAAAATATTTGTTAACATGGAAATTGTTATTCAAAATGACCCATGTAGTTAACTAATTAAAATTAACTTTCCCTGCTTCATTTTCACTTGACAAAATGATGTGTTACTTTTTATAGCATTTAATTGTACCTAATACTACCTAATTTAAGTGTTACAGTGTTTATTTTTGTTCAAAGCAATGCAGGAAATTCAGAAAAATTTTGTTTAAAGACAGATTCATACGTATATTGAGTACTTTGAATCTAAAATATAAGCAGTCAATGGACTGTATTGAAACAGTATATGTAATGTAAAAATAGAAACATTTGTACAAGGCCTAACTTTTGTTTATTTTGGTTTGTTTTGTAGTTTGGCTAGCATATGTATGGCCTCTTATATTTTGATGCTTCACTGCCATGTTATTTTAGAAAAAATTAACATGGCTAAAACTCCCTAAATTACAAAAGGCCATAGCTTTGCTGCACATTATACAGGACCGTAGCCAGGATTTACCAAGGGGGGTTCACTTTTTGAAAAATTCCAGGGGGTTTCACTTTTGACAAATATGATGCAAAAATGACTCAAATCACTTGAAAAGTGCTCAGAATGGTGAAAAACTGCATGATTTTGAAAGATTTTTCGCCAGGGGGGTTGAACCCCCAGAACCCTCCCTGGCTACAGATATGATGTTATACCTAATTATCTGAAATATACAAGAGTTACAGTAAAATTTCAAGTGTTTGGAACTACTTTGAATTTTAAAAAAAAGCAATCAAATGACTGTATTGCAACAGTGAAAAAGTGGAAACATATGTACAAGTCCTAACTATTGTATATTTCAGATAGTTATGTATAATACGCAGCAAAACTGTGGCCTTTTGTAATTTAGGGAGTTTCAGCCATGTTAATTTTTTCGAAAATAACATAGCAGAGAAGTTCCAAACATTTAAAATTTTACTGTAGGCCTTGTGTATATGTCTCTATTTTTCCATATACTGTTGCAGTATGGTCATTTGATTGCTTATTTTTAGAATTCACAGTAGTACGCCTGGTACATACAAGGGGGCTCCCCAAGGGGTATGTGATAAGGCGACCTGGCCTCTAAAAATATGACTAAATGGGACTTTGGGGTAGACTGTATCCTTCGTCTGAATAAATATTCAGACTGTAAGTCACCTATTGTAAAATGTGGTGTTGTATAAATGTTACAAATAAGTTTGTTAAATGATAAAATGATTACCTTATAAAGTACTTACAATATTATTTTTTCGTATATTGTCCTCTTACTGAAGATATTCATAAAATGTACAGACGCTTCTTGTAGCGAAGCCATTGATTAGGTCAAGCCATTTTGGCAATGCCAATTCTCACGATAAACGAGATTTAGCCAGTGACGTCAGTCTATTTGTAAACAAATAACACGTGGAGCGGACGGAAGCGTGTTGATAAATTCCATTTGTGCGGGAATTTATTAGATCTAGTATTTTATTATCATTATCCCGATTAATTTTCTTCATTTATAGTAAATAGAGCGGAAATATTCATGAAGAAGGCCGAGGTAATCAAGTGGTCATGTGTTCAAAAATTTGCATATCTCGTTTGGGTCTCGTGAACTCAAACGTCCTTGACATTGATTTCGCGATGTACTTATAAACACATCCTGAAGTTTTGGTGAGTCTGAACATTTCATTATTTTATATCAACTTGTACCCGCCTTATACAAATATTTTTGCTTCTAGTTTAAGATGAACATCTCTTCAACATATTCACCAATTTTCAAGGTGAACATTCTTGTAATAAACGAGAAATTTATGTGCAAAAAATATCACCGCGATTTCCACAGGAAATGTATCAATCATAACAGACCGAATATTATATTCGGTCTGTTGGATACATACTAGACTTTGGGGTACTTAAAAACGAACAAATGTGACAAATCAGAACAATGAGAAATAATTCACCATGTAGTCCATTACATTTATGCAATGAGAGGTTTTAATAAGATCATTCCAGATCTTATACACCTCTATTTTATTCAGGAAACAAACCCGGGAGTTTGATATGAAGTGACCACTGCACGAAATTTAGACTTACGAAAAATTAAAAGTTGAAACATTTTTAAATCAACTTCCAACGTCAAATCTCATTCATTGTTTTATTTGAAAGGAACAAATCAAGGAAAATAATAATTCCACATATTCATACACAATTTCATCACTTACCCGTTGTCATATTCCTGTTCATCTCTTGCAAATTACAAAATAAAGTGGAGAGAAATTTTTACGTAAAGCTGCTACTCAAACCGGAAACCAAGTGAACGATCTTTAGTTATTGACCAATGAAATAGCTTGTTACATCGATTACAAACAAGGAAGTGGACTATCGGAAAACAGCGTGCTGTTTAGTCTTTTCTCGAATGATAGTTTACGGTGAAAGCCCATCTGTTTTGGGCATCCACTTAGGCTATGTCTCTGTAGCTCTCTGTTCCATGGACCGAGGTCGATATAATTTTTAGATCTAAATAAAGATGGCATGGTAATCGATCTACGGGAGTTCGTTAGTCAAATTGTTAAAGTCCGCCAAACTGGCCAGAGACATGACCAAGCTAGTACTATAAGTATATAGCCGCTCCGGTAAATTTAGTACCATATGGGCATTGTAAACCATTGTAAACCATTGTTCACTCCAAATAATTTGGGGAGGTATGTGCAGCACGGTCAATTTTAGCTTTGAGCATAAAACACTGGAAAGTCACAGTGGCCAATCTGAGAGGGAAAAACTGAAACATGGAAAATTGCCTAATTTTATATTAAATTCGTTAAATCAGTTGCTGAGGCCTGGAACAAATCACTAGAAACGTTGATTTCTTAGTGAAATTGACATGGAAAATGCTCAAAAGGCCCGGGTCTTCGGGGCGGCACATCCTTGCTGCAAGGGTATTTTACAAGTATAATTGAATTTAGGCATAAATGAAGTCCTTTGAAGAAGGATGGGGCGGCAGGCATTAAAGGGAATGCGAAGTTTCATGTTCTAATTTATACGCTGACTACTTATAACCATCATCTATCACTTCAGCTCACTCATTGGACATATCGTGTTTGAACTAATATATAATTCAAGTTCAAAGTACCCATATCTGGATCGCTGCGGATGCCGCCATTGTTATGTATCAATGACGTCATTGATGCCTTAAAATTGATGCCTGGGAAGTGTCGCACGTCATACTCGGATCGCAGAAATAGAACACATTTTACTGCTATTTTATAACTATTTCTGTCCGCTTAACATTGTTGCCGCATGTTCATGTCCATATCATATTATATATTTGGAAAGGTTGTTTCAGTATATTCTTCATAGAAATTGAATTGTTGCAATGTCTTTTTTCAAATGTTTGTATTTATTTTTTCCAATGTGATATAGTATTGGCTAGGTAGAAAAATCACTAAACTTATGAGATATCGGATGCGCGATTCGGAATTTAATTGGTTTTGACTGAAAAGTCATCGCATTATATTCCACTTGAGAATATCCACAAGAATTATTTTATATAATGATAAGGTATACGTCGGCAAATAGGCAAACTGCTGCAATTGCGTTCTTACCTAATCATAAATGGTAGATTTCTTCAATCTGTAGTATTCTATTCAAATATGAATAGGTGGATATTGGAGAATGAAAGAAATAAAACGAAAAGTAGTAATCCAATGAAACAGTAACTCCTTAAAGTGTTTAATCATTTAAATTCTGATGAAAAACGCAAACAAAAAACGAAAAACCGACGTCGTCTAAACGATACTTATGTGAATGTCAATCTCCTAAATATTAAGATTGGCAATAGCTTTACAAGTACATGCCACTGTCATATTTCAAAGAATAATACGTAATGTTTAACATTCAGTGATGCGGGGAGACGATGGGGTCGATTAGATATTTCATTTCAACGACGATAAGGCAATTGCCGTATTGATAGTACGCCAATATTTTTAATATTTATTTTAATATATATTTATTTTTTGTTAAAAACAATTCCTGATTTCGAGCTCGAATTTAATTATATAACATCCGTGGTAAGTACAGTTCTACAGTTTTTTCCAAATAATGATTTTCAATTTAATGGCATACAACCTTTTGTTTTTCCATATCGTTTCCTCTAAACTAAGTGGAGCTTTAAAAGCTTTAGTCACATTTGCTCAATGCGACCGCACGTCGACCGTATTTCCCTGAAATCAGTAAATTTTTGCGGCAAACATAGGAAAACTACAGTCGCCTTAATGTCACCTTGCGGTCTACGTACACGGCATATCAAGTTTTACAGGGCGTAGAGTCGGAGGGCGTGGTCACCGTAGATATCAACAAGCAGCAGCCAAACCGTAGGTCCCACGGCGGCCGTACGTCGGGTTCACGGTCGACTTGCGGCTGCGCTTGGATTTCATAGGTTACAATTGACCTTTCCGAACCATAGAACCCTTTGTGGATGCCTTCAAGAAAAACTACGCACATCGTAGGGCCGCCCTATGCCGATCGTGCGTCATCATATATCAGCCGTACGGGAATCGTTGTTTTTACTCATAATCAAAATACGCCGCTATCTTAGCAAATGTGACTGCTAAATTATCTGACTGCAGAAATACTTAGGCAACAGTAGAAATTTTACTTACCGCAGAAATGATAGACCGTACGGTCCCCGTAAAATGTGACGTGAGGCTAAGAATCCATGATAGTAATTGAATACGTTTCTAAAATTCAATTTTAAAATTGTCTGCAAATACTTGTGTTAAAGATAAACATAAATGCAATCAATATTAAAGTACGAACACGTATTTTTGTAATGAGACTAGCAAATTATTAAATCATCACCGGGATTGCATTCTTGGAAGTTCAAGATGGGTTGGTTGAATTAATTTTATTATGTTTTATTAAAATAATTTGCATTCGCATGATAGAATAAGCATTCTGTGTTCGCATTTAGCGCTAGACCTAATGAAAGTTAAAAAGTCACGAATCCCAGATTATTTCAAGTGTAAATAACGAAAAAATGTAACCTGCATTCCATGTCTAGATAGGTAAAAAGCAATTCCGAAAATGCCGGCGTTAATATTCTATTGAAATCGTTCTTTATTATGGGTGGTATATACGTATTATTTTAGTTCCTTTAAAATGATTTATTTGGTTTTGGAATGGCAACAACTCGGCATTTATTTTTTGATTCAAAAATGGCGCCACAAAACTTTGGGAATGCCAAGGCATCAATCTGGCATCAACGACGTCATAACAATGTCGTAAAGAACCACTTTACGGTTGAAATGGCAGCTCCGTGGTCCAGTTCACATGCAAAACCCGGGGCTCAATAACAATTAAGGAGATAATGATAGAACAATAAAATGAAGTTGGATTGAAAGATGTATCTTTATTCTAACTTATTATCAAGTTTAAGGGACAAAACTTCGCATTCCCTTTAAGAAGTATATCGCATGGCGTAGAATAAAAGAGAGGTTAAGCACCCCGGGTTAAGCACTGAGACATCGTTTTTATGACGTTAACCGCAAACGTAAACCTTTACATTCCCGTTTACGAACTGTCACGACCCTCGTGTGGTAGCGTGGTTTGAGGGTCTTAAACAGAATACAGTCTAAGAGTCAATAGTTTGATTTGAATCTTAATTAATTTAGTTTCGGGACAAGTTCAAGTAAAAGTTGAAATGTGTATCCCTTTCTAATTGAACAACATCCGTGTTCACAGTATCATAACAAAATGGGATCAAATTGGGATAAATTTTGCGATGAAAATTTAGGGATAAATTCTGGGATAAATTTTCCGATGAAAATGTAGGGATAAATTAGGGATAAATTCTGGGATAAAAATAATTGGGATGAAGTGGGACAATTTCGGGATAACAGTTACGGGATAACAAAATCTGAATATAGACTAAGTAAGATTTGTCAGTTTTCAATGTAAGTTGTATGTCTCATAAAGGCGAATGGCAACAGACTCCAGATTCTGAATGTGCCCAGTGTTCAGTTGTATCAAATAAGTATAATGTTAGGGTGTGAGTATAACCAGGTGGAAGTCCTAGCCACTTGAGGGCTACGATGGACTTCAAGCTGTATATTAAGCTCGCTGTTCACACTTAAGAACTAAAGTAGGGCCATTTCAAATCACAGCCTGTCAAACTCACTAGGGTGAATGAAATTCTCACTAATATTATCTGATTATCAATAAGACATGTAAGACAAGGGTTAAATAAGAAAGTAAGATCCTGGATTGTACTTTAGCTCTGCACTATTGCATAGTTTCTGGGGAAATATATGTATGACTTATTGCGAGTGATTGTTATTCAAAGAAGCCCTTAGCAAATATGAGCTAAGATAAAGCTTGTTGCTTGAATGTTAGTATCACTAAAGTCACCTGGAATTTAGTCGGAATCTATTTTGAATCCAGAATCTACTTCAGATAAAATGAGGGGGGGGGATTTTCTAACATATATATAAAAAACAATCGAACACAACAAGTGATATTCTGTGGATTTTTATATAATGTATAAAAACGACTCTATTTCTATTTATTAATCTACACAAACATTACACAATTCAGTACTGTCGAGATGGTATATCAAGTAAATAATCTCTCAAACCAAACATGCATAAAACAGCACAGTTAATGGAAGTTCAGTTAAACAATTTGCAATAAAGCCTACAACGTGTCTTTTTCCAAAAATGTAACTCAACAGTGCAATTTTATATCATCCCTGGTGGGGTTGAAATCAGCTCTCTATACCACTCACATGAAAAGTAGATAATCATTTTGCCACTATCAGACTATGGTACAATTGGCAAACAAATGGGAAACAGTATTTTAAAAGTATTCTAGTATCTATAATGAATTAGAATGTGATTAACATAGAATTAGACCAGACATGGAAAACTAGAAGGGGAGGGGGTGTCTTAAGTCCGAAAATGGGGTTCGAATGACAATGACCCTTAAAAGTACTTCAATGATGTTTGATAATGGTCCCATAAGCCCGGGATTTCACCTTTTAATTACCCAGAATTTAACATACAAATATACAAAGGAGTATTTCTAGTGTATCAATAAAATTTACCCTGTGAACAAACTAAATACAGTCCCAAATTGGATGGGGGGGGGGGAATGTCGTATAGAGGTGTCTATGAACCCCAGGAATTTGCAGTTGACTCTGGTTTAGAGCAAGTTACATAGGTACGTAAAGACCGTAACTTTTCGTACACCTTGTCAAATATTCCTAAACGATTCCCTGTGGGGATGTTGTATAAAAGGTTTCAACGAACCC